ATCTTTTCTTTTACATCTTTTAATTCTTTATCCATTTTTTCTATTTTATCTTCTAATTTTTTGGTTTGACCTTCTTCATTCTTATCTATTTCCTTAAGGTGATCTTGAAGCTCCGAAATTTCTTTTTCAAAGTCATGCTCAATCATTCTTTCTTTTATATCTTTTATTTCATTTCCAATTTCTTTTATTTTGGCTTCCAAGTCCTTCATTTGTTGATCGTCATTCTTATCTAGTTCTTTAACATGGTCTTGGAGTTCTGAAATTTTCTTCTGAATATCTTGTTCTATCATTTTTTCTTTTACATTTTTTAATTCTTTTTCTACTTCATCTATTTTATCTTCTAATTTTTTGGTTTGACCTTCTTCATTCTTATCTATTTCTTTAAGGTGGTCTTGAAGCTCCGAAATTTCTTTTTCAATGACCTGTTCTATCATCTTTTCTTTTACATCTTTTAATTCTTTATCCATTTTTTCTATTTTATCTTCTAATTTTTTGGTTTGACCTTCTTCATTCTTATCTATTTCCTTAAGTTGGTCTTGAAGCTCCGAAATTTCTTTTTCAATGTCATGCTCTATCATTCTTTCTTTTATATCTTTTATTTCATTTCCAATTTCTTTTATTTTGGCTTCCAAGTCCTTCATATGTTGATCGTCATTCTTATCTAGTTCTTTGACATGGTCTTGGAGTTCCGAAATTTCCTTCTCAATGTCTTGTTCTATCATTTTTTCTTTTACATTTTTTAATTCTTTTTCTACTTCATCTATTTTATCTTCTAATTTTTTGGTTTGACCTTCTTCATTCCTATTTAATTCTTTAACATGATCTTGAAGCTCCGAAATTTCTTTTTTAATGACTTTCTCAATCGTCTTCTCTTTTACATCAGTTAGGTCCTCCTCCAATTTTCCTAAACTGTCCTTTATTGTTTTTATTACATCAAGTTCTACTAAATTGTTATTAATTTTATTTTCTAAACCATCGATTTTATCTTCAAGTTTTTTCAAAACATCTTCGTGTTGTTCTTCTTCGTCGTTTAATTTTTTAACAGTTTTTTGGATGTCCGTTAAGTCATTGGCAGTAGTTTGTGTAATGATTTTCTCTTGTATATCAGCTACTTCATCTTTTACTTTATCCATGTCTACTCGCAGCTTTTCAGTAGCATCTTTAAGATCTTCCATATCTGGTGACTTTTTATTACCCAATTTTTCTAACTCATCTAATTTTTCCTCGAAATCTTTTTTTCCTGTCTCCAATTCCTCATTAATTCGAAGTATATTTTTCTGAAGGTTGTTATTTTCTTCTTCCATTGTATCCAGTTTTTTTACTAAAGGCGATATTTTAGCTTCCAAATCGTCCATTCTTTGCCTTAATTTCCCTACTGGTTGATCACCAACATAATCTTCATTCAAATGGTTTTGAAGATTTTGAATTATTCCATCTTCTGCTTCGTTTAGTTTCTTGACATCTTCTTGTATGCTTGCCAGTTGTTGGTCGACAATCTGCTTTATCATCTTGTTTTTAACTTCTTCTAATTCTCCTTCGATTCTATCCAAGCCCTTTTGAAGCTCCTCTTTTTCTTCTTTGATCGATTCGATTTCTCCTTTCGTTGGATTATTTTTTAATTGTTTTTCTATGTCGTTTAATTTCCTCGATAATTCCCTGTCAGTTGGTTCTTCTTTTTCACCTGGTTCGGCCGATTTTGTTATTGAAGATAATTTTTGGTCCATTTCTCGCTTTAACTCATCTACTTGAGTTTCCAGTTTGTCAAAGTCGACGTCGGTTTTCTTCAAATGACTCTGCAGGTTATCGTTTAACTGCTCGTCGCTTTCTCTCAATTTGTCGATGTTTTCGCGAAGATTCGCCAATTCTTCGATAACATGTGCTTCATCATCAACTGGTTTTCTGCCAACGGCCAATTCTGACAGTTTCTCATCTAATTCCTCGAATTTGTCGCGCATAGTTGCTTCGATTTTGTCGATATCTTCGCGAAGAATCGACGTATCTTCACCTTTGTTTAAGTAGTCTACGGTGTTTTCAATGTCTGTTAATCTGGATTCAATTTGGTCGAAATTTGGTTCTTTATTTGTTGATTCTTTCATGGCATCAAGTGTTTTATGTACATCTTTTAAGTCTTCAGATTGGTTTTGTATTGTGCCTTTGAGGGCTTCAATATCCTCTTCAATTCTATTCAAGTTTGTATCCACGTTTGTGTTCTTATTGTCGCTTGGTTTGTTTTCATCGGTTATTCTTTCGAGTTTCTTATCTATATCATTCATATGAAGTTGAAGATCTCTTATAGTATTTTTTACATCTTTTGTATCTTCATTTCGGTTTGTTTTTGCTCCTTCCTTTAATTTATCGACGTCTTTTCTCAAATCCTTGGTTTTTTGCTTGATTAGATCTTCGAACTCTTTTTTGAGATTGGAGGTTTCTTCTTTGTTTTGCTTCTGTGCGCCAGATTTTTTTAGTTGTTCTTCAATTTTGTTTAATCTATTGTTGTTGTTGTTTATGTTGTTTATGTTGTTGGTTATCGCTTGGTTCTTTTGAGCGACGTCTTCTTTGATATCGTTAATATCGTTTCCTAGAGTTTCCTCCAATTCTTCTAGTTTTTTCTTGATTTCCAAGTTATCGTTTTCCAGGGAATTTTCGGTTTTGTACCTGAGATTGTCGATTTCGAAATGGTTTCGGTCGTTTTGCAGTCCTAATTCTTCAATTTTTTGCTGGTCATTCTCTTGTGATTCCTCTATCAATTGAACCTTGAATTTCAGCTCAGCGTTGGATTCCAGCAACGCTTTGATCCGCTTCTCCAAGTCCATTATCTTCTTCTTCAGGGCCAGCTCCGTTAGGGTTCCTTGGCTTTCTAATTTGTCCAATCGATATTTTAAATTCTTTACGTCTTCGTTTCGTCTGTTGTTGCTGTTGTTGTTGCTTTCTGGTTTTAGATTGTTCAAAGATTTTTCTAACGCCGATAGTCGGTCGTTAATGTCCGTTGGTGCGGTATTACAACATCCATCTAATTTATCTACGGTAGTTTGGATGCTTTCCACGTCTTCTAACAAGCGTTCTACATCAGTTTCCACTAACTTCACTTTGGTGGAAACCGTTTGAGAATTGACTTCCACTTCCATTAACCGATCCAACAACCCATTCTCCGATGGTTCTCCACCATCACCGCCAGCACCCGCCTCGGATATCTTCGGGAAATCCTCCGGCCGCTTCTTCTGGATGTCGTTATAGAACGGCCGGAAGGGCACGTGCCTGGACTTCCCGTTGCGCCCGCACCCGATGTTCTGGAACCCGAAGAACCGGCCGTCGCTCTGGAAGATCCCCGCCGCCGGCATGTTCCGCTGGCAGGCGCCCGCCTTCGCCGTCTCCGAGCCCGTCTGGCGGCTGCTGAAGCCGATGGCGCGGGCGCCGTCCACGTCGTCGGCGACGTCGAACTGGCGGCAGGGCGGCGGCAGCGGCGGGTCCAGCCGCAGGAACGTCACCGCGACGCCGTCGCGCTCCACGTTCTCGTGGCTGATGATTGAGTGCTTGACGGCGTTGTCGCACCAGGAGGTCGAGCCGCTGGTCACGTAGTGGATCTTCACCACCGGTTTCTGCCAGTCGAAGCAGTCCGATAGCACGGCTACTGTGTTGGCTGCGGAAGGGGACTTGCTCGGTGATTGAAGTGGTAGAAAATTTGGATGAAAGGAATGTGAAAAGCAGAAGAAATTGTTAGAGAAGTAAAATGTATTTAGAGGGTCAGTAGTAAGAAAGGTTGTAAAGGATAGAGTGAATAGTTGAAGGTGATGAGAAGAAACAATGAAGTATTACTAGAGTAATATTGAAGATTATTGATTATTCTTCTGGTTGCAGTAGATTGGCATAATTAAAGAAATTCAAGAAGATATAAAGGTGTAATTATTGCAACTATTACTTCCTACTATAGTAATATAATTGATTCTTCTTTTGGTTGCAATGGACTGGCATAATAGAAGAAGTACAAAAAGATATGAAGGTGCAATGATTGCAATTACCTCCTACTAGAGTAATATTATTGATATTGGTTGCAATAGTTTGATATAATTGAAGAAATATAAGAAGATATGAAGGTGTAAATTTTGTAACTGTTACCTCCTACGTTGACGCCATTGCATATGAGCACATAATTTTCCAAATGGAGGTACTCTTTTTCGATGATGCCGATGGGTATGGATTTTTCGCATCGTTTTTGGGGCTGCTCTTTCCAATTGCATTCGTACCCGGTGGTCCTGAGATTTGCAACTGACGCTATCGGTACTAAAAAATTTCAATTTCACGCGATTGCTTTTATTTAGTTCATTTTCTTCAGTTTTATTCTTCAGTTCTACTTACATTTTTCGACGTCTTCTTGTTTAAGAATTCCTGTGGTATTTTCCGTTGATGCACAGTCCGAAATTAATGCGATTATCGTTAAAACTAACAGCATTTTTTACGTACTAAATAAGCATTTTAATAGTCGCAGTTGAATTTAATTTAATCAAAATTGAAACGAAATTGCAATTTTCATGGTTTTTTATCATGGAAGATAAGCATGGGTTACTAGCAAGTATATACGATGTTGGTTGGAATTTTTCAAAGTTTTTTTGGGATGAATTTTTTTTTAGTAATTTTCCAGGTATTTATGCACAAATGGCCTGAGAAGCCGAGTTCTCGGTAGTACGGATTCACCGCGGGGGAAAATAACCGTTTAACATGGACGGTGTGACGTCTTTTCTTGGTCATCGAGCAATAAATTTTCACCGAGGGCTCCGGTGAAATCCGGAGTCAAATTCCGTTTGAAAAAAATATACGCGCTAGCGAGGAAACTGGTTTTTCGGGTTTGTCGTTTACCATTTTCTGGGCAAATTTAGATTCGCACGGGCTTATTATCTCGTGCATTATTCGGAGTTGATAAATCAGTTCAAACGAAACGTGATCTTACGCATAGAACGTGACGTTCGCCAAAAACGAAACATCTTTTTTTTCTATATTTTTCAAAAATGGACGTTTTTTACTATAATTCGATAGTTATTGGCTCGATATTTTTGGGGTGTTTGTTGGTGTGGTTGTTTTTACCAAGATTTTTCTCGAAAGGATGCTCCAGTAAAATTTGTTTAGTGGGAAAAACGGCCCTAATCACAGGAGGCAGTTTAGGTAAGTTCCAGTGAAATATTCTCAAAATTTCGTTTAGTGATTTAGTAAATAATTTATTGAGCAACCCTCGTAAATCTTACTACGAGGATCGCTCGATAATTAGTGCTATTTTCTATTTCAAGGGATAGGATATGAAATCGTTTTGGGGTTAGCGCAGCGAGGATGTAGAGTGATTATAGCCGATAAAGTGATAAATAAGGATATCAAAAATAAAATTATCTTGGAAACTAACAATCCGGAAATTTATATGGAATACGTAGATTTGGGATCATTCAAATCAGTGAGTATTAATTAAGGGTATTAAAGAATTTTAATAATAGTTCATAATTAGTTTCATGATTAGTGTCCTACATTTAATCTACAAGGGTAGTAAAATAAATATCTTTGAATATTTTTGAAAATTTAGCTTTTAAGGGTTGAGAAGTTTGTTTTCTATTTTCTCCTAAAACGAAAAAAAAACGTTTAAATCATTAAATTTATTTATTGGTTTGACGAATATTATAGTTATACGGGAAATAGGTGTTTTATTAAGTCGTAATTCTGCGAATGGGTCCAATATGTAAATTTCTCAAAATATTTATTGTGTCTACCAAAATTCAACAAAAAAGTGTTAAAAAATAGTAAAAAAGTTGCAATTTTAAACTATTACGTAATATACAGGGTAAGTCACGTCGAACGCTACGGATTCTTCTGCCAAAATATACAGGGTGTCACAACAAAGTGTGGTATATCAAAGTTATACTATGCTTCAACAGAAATCGAACATTATGTACCATTTGAAGCAAAAAACTTAATTATTAAATAGCGATGACTTAATTACAATTATATTTAACAAACTTAATAATTTTATAAATTTATTACATTTAATAATACCAATAAATACCAAAAATTTCCAATAAATACGACTCAATTAGTTTATTAATTAATTTTAAAGATGCTGAAAACCTTGAAGCGATAGTAATAACCTCGCATTAAATTTACTACATCTTCAATATATCGGAATTTAAAATGTCCTACCATCCGAACGACACTGAAATTTCTTAAAATATTAAACTTATTCTTCCTTTTCTGGTATAAAAAAAACTAGTTTTAATTGTGCAGCCATCGATCCCACTTAATACCAACCTAACAACGACGCAATAAATAAATTAATGATACGGGACGTTATTAATTCCCAAATTACATACAGATTTATTAATAACATCGGCGAGTTGATTGGGGAATAAAATCGTATTTTAACCCCGGATTTAGAAATAGATTTATGGATTGGATAGTAGCTATACACAATAAGAATAAAAATAATTTATATTCTAGTTGGTAAAAATATAAAGAAGTTATTACGATTCCGATTAGAGGTTCATTATAGTAAATTATTGACTAAGAATGCGGTATTTTAACATTTAAATTTGGTTGAGAAAACAATATTCAAATGGTATAATAATTAAGTAACGAAGAGAGTAAATCTCTAGGAGATTAAAAACATCGATGAAGAAAATAGAATCGTATGAATTGTATGAATTGTAGGTGCGTTCGCTGGCTGAAAAATTGAAAACATCAGAGAAAAAACTAGACATTCTAATCCACAACGCCGCCATCGGCTCCTGCGGCGGGGCCCTATCGGAGGACGACATCAACCTAACGATGCAAGTGAACTACTACAGCCCGTTCCTGCTCACGCATCTCCTCGTCGACCTGCTGAAGAACTCCCCGTCGGCGCGGCTCCTGTTCTGCGGCTCGCCGGTGGTCTGGTTCTCGCGCCGGTTCTTCGCCTTCAGCCGGGCCGTGTGGAACACCTTCGCCGACTACTGGGTGTCGAAGACCTTCCTGATCGTCGTCTCCGATCTGTTCGCGGAGAGGCTCAAACACCACGGCGTAACCTCCAATTGCTTCCATCCCGGGGCCGTTAACACCAGATTGCACCATCAATTTCTCGGTCACAGACTGGGCACGTTCTTGCACGGTATTCTCGGCCCTCTGGTGTTCAAGGTGAGCGGTTTATTTGTTCTGGTATAGCAAGGTTTTCTGTATGTATGGTTGTTGTTTTAGTCTCCTGAAGAGGGTGCCCAGACCGCTATATATTTGGCTTGCTCTAACGAGGTTAAAAATGTGACAGGGGAGTTTTTCTGCGATATGAAGCCGACTAAAAAGGTGAAGGAGGTGGAAAATAAGCGATTCTGCGAGTCGCTTTGGGAGGTGTCCGAGGAAGTGGTGAAGTTAAAGAAAAATGAGTTGTTATAGGCGTTTGTTGTTATTGTTTGTCAAATGATTTATGTTGTGTTAAATAAAATTCAAAAAATTCCAGCACTGTCTATACCAAGGTACAAAACCTAGAGACAACCAAGGGTTGGATTTATTGGAGACCTCTGGCTGACACAATGACCTTACAACAGCAAGAAAACTACAGAGGATCCTATGATCTGAGTGATTGCGAAACAAAAAAATAACATCACCAGCAAAAGTACTCTCATAAATACAAAAGCCTCTTTATTGGATTATTTACATATTAACACAATAAATAACAATCATAATATTGACTAGAACACATAAAAATTTAGTTCACATTTTCCGCCACATCTCAAGTTCGAAAAACTACTTGAATTCGAGTACTCTTAGTCTTTGCTTGAGCACATCACCAAATCAAATTTATCGTTAATCTCCACGAAGAACGTCCTCACCTTTTCAGCTTTCCCCTTCACTGCGATGAAGCCCCTTTCGACGCACGAATACCCCAGGTTCCTCGCTATATCCGCCGTGTTCTCCATCACCTGGATGTGCCCCGCCACGCCGGTGCTGTCCATCCTCGACGCCATGTTCACCGGGTCCCCCCAGATGTCGTACAAGGGCTTCTTGCTGCCCACCACCCCGGCGGCTATATCCCCGTGGCTGATGCCTGGAATCGTCGAAGACCACTGGTTTCAGAGACGGGGTTAATTAGGTGAGTTTGAAATTACCTATTCTTAATTTGGATTTTTGGAAGTGCGTCTTGTTGACGTATTCAACTTTCTTGAACATCTCCGAAGCGAAATTCAGGACGGTGTCCAAGCTGGTGCTGGTCTGGTGGCGCTCGATTTCCCTGGACCTTCCACCGGGAAAGAGGCCGCAGGCCACCATGTAGGTCCATTTGGCGATTTTTATTTTCTCTATTCCGCGGAATTGTCGTCTGTTCGTCAGCTACAAAAAATAACCCAGATCATACCTCAATCCCATAGAGTACATGCAGAGTATAGTTACGATATCGAATTCGGTGATATAAGCATTCATCAAGTGCAGCAATTCCTGCTCGTCGAGTATCGTCAGCAACTCCTTATCGGTGATAATCGTTGCAAACATGACGGCAACGTTGCTGTGCTCCTCGAAATAGAACTCCTTCTGTTCTCTGTTTACGTCCAGGTACAAATTAGCTGGAACAATCGCCTAAATTAGCGACTTATCGATATATTCACCGATCGACGTACCGACGTGCTTCGGTAGAATGTTCAACAACAAATTCTCGTTGACTTTCTGCAACAATTTCGCCTCTTCCTGCTCCAAATTGATCTGCTTGTTCCTCAAATAATCCAATCTGTTGATGTAATCCGTCTGTCTGTCCACCAAATGCAGCGTTACTATGAGGAAAACGGTCGATATTATGTGAGCAAATTGCGGTTGAAGATTGTTATTGAACGTCTCGCTCTCCTGCAATAAAATTATTTAGAGTAAGCTGTAGTAAAACGATCAGTATACCGTCCGACAATCGATTCAAGCGATCAGTTTTCCGTCCGATCTATATAATGAACCTTCTTGAAAGTTTAAAACAATTCTTGGAGTTGCCAGTTGTGATATTTAGAGTTACCTTGTAGTATCCACTACTGAATCCGAGCACGCAATACCCGTACAATGTAATAGTGAGCGCACCGAGTAGGAATTTCAACCAAATGAACATCCTGAGGAAGAGAAAACTCATTATTACGGCCATCGCGTACGTTTCTGTCATGTGCTGGAAAATATATAAATGTATTAGCATATCAGCCTGTGGATGGATTCGGATTGTTACCCAAGGCAGGACGCAGTGCACGAATTCCCGGGCGTATTTCTCTTGCGAATAAAACAGCAACGTCACTAGTTTACGTTGCTCGGTGTAATTGTATCGAGAGGCTTCCGAATCGAAATTGGTGCGACAGTCCACCTGAAAATAACCGGGGAAAAAATTGAGGTAGATACGAAATCCGAACGTGATGGAATTCGATGTACCATTTCGTTGCCTACGCAAAACAAAAATCCCAAATAAACCATCAGGAATATGGATAATCTGACGTAGACGCCGTTCGTCACGACGCTCGACGCCTTGCACGCCATTCGGACTATGAAATTTTTCGGAATTTCGCCGGTGTACGTGGCGAAATATTTATTGTACAAATACTCCATCCACGCACTGGGTACCAGCACGAACAGTACCACCAGTACTATGAGAAGAAACGGCCAAGTGCTCAAATCCCAACTGGAATTAAACTTTCTGTTAACCTATTGCGTAGTAGTTTAGCGTATACTTACGTTCTTAAAGTTAAATTTTGTATGAAATAAACGCAAACAATCAAACACGCAGCGCCTAAGAGGTAATATTTAAAAAGCGCGTCAGGAATTTTCAAATACTCCAACTCAGTCGTCCAATTTTTATACAACAGGAAGAAATTTATGCGCTTCTCTTTAACGTACTGCCTGCAAACAAACCCACTCACAACACACCAGCAATCAACAACAACGCAATACTTTACTTGTACTTCGAAAACGACTCGTTCTTGATGCTCGTCTCGATGTCCTTGTTCACCATTTCGGCGCGTTCCGTGTACCTCTTGATGTTGTGGTTCATGAAAGCGGTGCGCCTCTGCAGCGTGTTGGTGCTCCTCCTGCTCTCCATCGTGCGGATCTTCTTCTTGTATATTCGCTCGTCGACGCTGCCCCGATGCCGGGCGGATTCGTCGGAAATCGCGAGGTAATTGGCGTCGTCTTCCACCACCGAGGGCAGCCGCTGGAGCTGCGACAGCAGGGTGGCGTTGGGGAAGGACCTCTGCTTCTGGTAGATCGAAGAGCGAGGCGTGGGAGTCGTCGGGGCGCTCTCCGTGGTCGTCTGAAAGGATCCGGTGGTGTGGATGATGCGGGGAGCAGATGTGGAGTACTTACTATTGGTAGTACTAGGAAGGTCCGGTGGCCGAGGACTTCGAATTGTTCGTTGGTGGATTTTTTCATTTTCGGGTGGATTCTGTACGGTTTTTTTAGCAAGTTTTTTGTCACTTCTGTTATGTGTACCGCTCTGAATTGATGGAGAATTAGTATGAATAAGAGATTGTTATGTGATTGCTTTTACCCGGCTTCTCCTTCGCTTTCCATTTTATTGGCAATGTCCACGTCTTTCGACCAAATGTCGAATTGGTACTTCACTGATCCTATTATACCGCTGATGATTTTTCCACTGTGCACGCCGATTCTCATGTTTATGTTCAAATTCCTCTTTCTCCTGCAACAGCATAATTGATTGAAACTTGTTTTTCCGTTGGACAATACACAAATGTTGCAAAATTACCTAACGTTACTTATAATTGATATCATCTTGAGGCCCAAATCAACGCAGGCTTCGGCTGGATTATCCGCCACATCTGGAGGTAAACCTGCCACGCAGTAGTAGCAGTCTCCTAAGAATTTGATTCTGGTGACTTTTAGCTCCTAAATAGGAAAAAAACCAATTATGTATTCGGTGTTTATTTATCTGTGAAATTTCTTACTAATGAGGCGCTGTCGAACAAACCGAACAAATCGTTTAAAGTGTCCAAAAGTTCGGTGATTTTTAATTTGATTGTCATTTCCGTGTAATTGACGATGTCGGCGAAGAGAATGGAAACGTTTTCGTGGGAGTCCAATAGAAGATTGCTCGAATATAAAATGTTTGTTATGTACTCGAAATGCTAGTGTGTTATATAACTTACTTAAACGGGTTTTCTTTCAGATATCTACCCTGTTTGATGAAGGATTGTATGGCGGTCACGTACCGTTCTTCCACTATCTTTCTGATGTACTCAGGAATTATGCTTTGCATTAATTGAACCTACGATTTGAAATTCGAATTGAGAATCTACTCGGTGCTGCCATCTCGTGGGAAAAGCGCCGTTTCAACGCGCTCTCCACTAGGAAAACTCTAAACTTACTCCGCTTATCGATTACCCTTTACTAATTCATTTCTTTTGTTATCCAGATAAAATGCAGTAATGTAACGAAAAGTCAAAGTTACCTTTTGGTTTTTCTCGTGTATCAACTGGTAGGTGCTCATTATGCTGTCTCTTCTATCCAAGAAACTCCTTCTGATCACTATTTCATTCATATAGCGATAGTAGATGCCCAAAGCGTTAACAAAAGCAGTAAATAGGGCATCAGATGCTATCTAAAACGATAGAATTAGAGAAGAAATAAACAGAATCAAGAAGCCAACAGGATCAAGAGGTACAGTAACCGAAACCCAGAGAAACTTCCAGCACCTCATTAACATCAACAAAAGCTCCAATAAGAACAAGAAGAACAACAAAAAATCATCTTCATCAGTTTGTTTTACCTCTCTCCAGGTGACCACGTTGTGAGTGTATGTGACGAAGTAGAGGGTGAGCAGGTGGCTGCAGGAGACGAGGAAACCGATGGAAATGGCGATTATGATATCATCTGCGGCGAGAAATAGATAGCAGGCGACTATCAGATGGGGAGAATAAGCGGGTCGAAAGCGCTGGTCGTCGACTATCCTGTGGTAAATCGGCACGAAGAAACACACGATAACTACCATGGTGTAGAAGATCGAGGATAGCAGTTTCATCGATTTGTATTCGATTGGTCTGCATTCCGTGTATATTAGAGTGGTTACGGACGTCAGGATGATGGTGGCGTAGAGGATGGCGTCCGGTGCGATTGTATTCAAGTCATCCTAAAAAAGGATTATTAGAAAACCTTGAAATGCATTAGCAGGAGCTTAGATAAAGCTGCGCGTTTAGAGTTTTTTGTATTAATTGCCGCTATAAATTTATTAACTCGCTGGTAATCAAAGGAATCGCGCTGATAATAATTAAAACAAACATACTATGGATACAAAAAAAGTACTTAATTTGATATTAGACTTGAATCGTAAAAGCCGGATGATAAGGTTAAGACCAAACAATAATAAATAAATTCGCTCGCAATATTTTGTTTCCACAATTTTCTCCGAACATAATCAATGAAATCTTACAATTTGATGTTAAAACTTACTGTATTACTAATAACAACGAATATAAAATGCGTTGAGCATAGAAGCAACTGGAGTATCAGAAACAGCGAGAAATATCCATGGTTAACTTTTTCCGTGTACAGGTTGAAGAGGTCCTGAAGTTTGTATGTGTCGAACAAATTCTAGAAAACAAGACGCCTGTTACAGATAAAACTTTTTCGTGGAATTAACTGGAGTTGTTTGATAATCAAAATAGTTGCATTCGAAGTTAATGGACTTACTCTTAAATACGAGAGACGCCATTTCCTTTCGTCTGTAGTTAGTAAGGTCTTTTTTAGAGTATTTTCGTCACCGTCTAGATCATCTTCATCCACGGAGGTAACGTTATTTAGGTCTACTTCTGGTTCATTAGGCTCCATTTCGAAACGCCCACTATTAATTTAGACACATTTGTAGAATTTTTCCAATCTACATCAAAACAGCACTATTTCATAAAGGCCCTTTCATCACAACGAATTTACTATTATTCACTTTACCGCATTTCTCACCCCAAACACATACCAAATTTTCGCAGGTATATTCCGAATGCAAATCAGTTTCCAATCGATCCGTTTATCGATTAGAAAATTCGCGTCACCGCTGGCATTGATTGATTCGCACTGAAATCTCTGATAGTGTTTAATAATTCCGTATATCTCTACATCGATAACGACTAATATTAATTAATTGTCTGATAATTTATCGGAATGTATTATAAGATTATATTTTTCCACAAAGTCGACAACGATAAGAGCGTTAAACGTTATTAAATTCGCACTCTCGTCTTATCGGACACGAAAGATGGGTACTTTCCGATATAGTTTTGTAGTTAGGTACTATAATAAGATTAGTTAGTAGAATCGTTTATTGAAAAGCGAAAATAACATTGCGATTGCGTCATGTAATTGCTCGAATATCGAATGCAATAAATGCTCGAGCATCGTTCGGATCTATTCAAGGCGAAGCAATATCCGCGTTTCTGGAAATCCACAAGTCGGAACATTTCCATTAGAAGCCACTCTCCGTCGATGGCAAAAAAAAAACCTCCCCTTCGGTGGACCGCACGGCGGATCATTCCGGCGCAATAAATTCTTTCTACGTAAACAAGCCGCGAAACGTGAGTTAACTCGTTTGTATGTACCGTGTACACGGTCATCGTTTTCCTGTCGCACGCATTCCTTTCATCCAGACGTCGAAACCGCCCCCGCCGCCCCGGCGGCGCTGCCGTCCCCTTTATTTATCTCCTTTAATATTCCTGCCGTTATCCCGTCAACTCCGCCACCTGTTTAAAAATTCCTCGCCCGCGCCCCGCGCCCCCGCGCCCGCCGCCCGGCTACAACGAGAAATTGGCCGTATACACAAAATATCCATAATACTGCGAGGGGGCGGCGGGCGGGCGGCGAGGCGCGCGCGTGCTTGGGGGGCCGACGGGCGCCGCGGCGCATGTGCCGTAGACTCCGGGCGCTCCGGGCGCGTTTGCCAGTTCGTGCCTCGTCGGGACGCGGACAGGGCGGTCGGGGGATGAAATTACCTTTTGCATGTTCGACAACACGCGTTTCGTTTGTGGGAATTTAATTGTTCGCTGATGTGGATAATTCGCTTCGGTACCACCGGATCTGGTTCATCTACTACTCTTCCAGCTTCTACAAGACTATTAGAGAATGGAGTGTTGTGTTAGTAGGTAAGAGGTATTGTTAGAAAACGATGATGGAATGGTTGGAATTATTAAAGAGGATCACTTCCTTAAAGAATCTACGTAGAATTGTAGTAATGAATCAATTCCAACCGTTTCGAATCCGGTTTATTGAATCTCTAATTGAGCGATTAATACAATAATAGTTAAATTGTAGTCATTAGCAACAGAATATGATCGAATCGAAGCTATTAATAATAGCCCGGTTGCCGTTTCTGCGTCTCCTTATGACCATAAATCTTCGGTGCATAGGAAGCCGAAATGGGCACCATACCGCTGCCGCCCCATCTAGATCCTATCTGGTTATGATGCAGGGCCGTTCCGAAACGTCGTCGAAATCGAGTTGCCTAACTGCCGGGTAGATTGCCGGCGCACTCTAGATGACATAAAGATAACTCTCGATAACTGTGTAGCGACGAGTTTCCAACAACCCAGTTTATAGTTTGGGGATAGAAAGCGCGACCGAGAGATAAGGTAAACGGTCGAATAGGCGTTGTTATTAAAACGAGGTTTCGATGGGGCGGTCGGGGGCGGTTCGGAAACCGGCCACGTCGGCTGGTTTTCGGTCCCCCGCGAAAGAGATGATGTTCAATTTTGTAATCGAGTCGTCGGGTGATTATCGTTAGACGTGACGAGGCGCCCGCCAGGGGAAGTTCCTGTTTTTGGGTATCTCGGCGGGAAATTGGAAAATTCGGAAATTCGACGTCGTTAGGAAGTTCGGCAACCGTGCTCTGAGGCACGTCTCGGTTATTAAGATTGATGGGTATCAATTAAAATTGTATAATTAATTACGCTTTGTGGTGTATCTGATGTAACTTAATACGAATGACTGGCAACTTTCGGGCCATTTTTAAGGATTTCTTTCGGGAAGCTGTTTCAGGATCATTTGAAACAGTCAGTTAATGGATTATCTCAATAATGGATTTTGAATTATTATAGATATGATTATTCAGAAGATTTTTCATTATATTTAAAATGTATACGTAATTTTTTGTATTACAAAATACAAAATTTTCTCTTCTCTTACTTAAACACTCAAAAATACACTTAATCAAATTTATGAGCAAAGGAATGTATTTAATCAAAACCATTAATCACCACTTAAACCCCCATTTTACATCCACCACAAAACTACACCCCTTAAAATAGATAAAAATCCCATCAAAACTTTAAACCCCCCTCCCTCTAAACAAACCAAGGGTAATATAAATTTGATTCCATAACAGCGCTCACCCCGCTCTAAATAGCGTTGTGAAAAATCGAACAGTTATGGTGCAAACTGTACCGAAAACGTCATTTGCACCATAAGGGCGAATTAATTCAAACCCGCACGGGATGATAACGAAAACAACAGGTTCCAAAAAGTCTGGTCGAGCGCATACACGGGTATTCGATTAACAACGCAGACGGACGAGCGTGTTTCAATTAGCATAATAAGCTAATAAACGTCTCGAATTATAAATGTAACACGGGCACATATATCGGGTTGAATAAATAGCGCGCATTAACATTAAACAGTGCATTTGGGATCCATTAAATTCCTCGCCATTCGACCCCTTATTTGCGTACATTAAAAATACCTCGCAAGGGTAATTAATAGTATTGTAATTCAATTAAAAATTCGCCACCCCCATCTAGCTCGGATTCCAGCGCCCCGTAATCCACAAATCCGGTGCACATACCCTAACTATAGGGGGACTTTAAATTAAACCGCAAGTTGTAGTGGAATTACGTTATTTTTTTCGTTACCCAACACCGACCCGGGGGGCCGGTGATAATTACCGCAAATCCCCAAATACGCGATTATCTTGAACCCGAACAGTCGAGGTCATTATCGATTCGGCGAGATTATTGTCGTACAACCGTTATCTCCGCGTAATTTATTCTTATATCGAACGCGAAATTCGATCTTGTGAAATTTCCCGGCGCTCGCTAAGAAAAAACCACCAAACCCTATCCGTGGATTATTATAATATCCGGCAAAGTTTCTGTTTGCCCTCGAATTTCATCCCGGAAAGTTTCAGGTAAATCGACTTTAATTGGAAATTATCGGCGGTTAATCCGTCGTTAACCATACCGGTTACGTCGGCTTAGAATAAATTAAATCGCGAATTACATAGGTGCAAAACACGGGGAATATAATAAGAAAAGTGAACTTTCTTTATACCGATCGATAGTTGGTTTAATTTCGCTCGTAGTGGAAAAAGTTTCATGAAAATCGATCGGGTATTAACAAAGTTATCAATAAAATAGTTGTCAGCTGACATTCTCCTCACTTGTCAGTTGTTATTCTTGTCATATGTCATTCTTGTCAGTTGTTGTTCTTGTCGTATGTCATTTTTGTTATGAGTTGTGGTGCAAACGGCGATTCGATGGCAATTTGCACCGTAATTCTGGGTTTATTTACTGGGTATCATCGAAATGATGTGTGAGTTATGTGCTAAAATTACTCGACGTGTATTTAATAGCGCCGGAAATTAACCGATTCTTCGAGGGGGTGTCTTTTCACAGTTACTTATCGATCGCACCACGTATGTATGATTCATGAGACGCGGTTTTTCTCGCACCTAAAGGGCTGCGTGTTTTGTGCGTTTATTATTTCTTTTTTTTTTTTTCGGGAAAATCGATATCAATGCACGTTCGCGTTTTTTCGCCATAACGAAGGTAAATAAACTTTCAGCAGGGAAATTGTTTGTTATTTACAGTTTAGACGAGTTGAATGGAAATTGTTGGATGAAGAAAATTGCGAGGCCCCGCCGGTGTTGCCAGCCTTAATGATCCCATTCCCTTTATATGCATAAAAATTCCGTTTTTTATTCAAAAACATGTTTAAAAGAAAAGTTTGTTTCTTTCATTACTTTACGCATTCTTCTAGTTATTATCAGAAGCTTTAGGAGAAAATTTTCAATTCGTTACTTAATGAATTCAATTTTCCTCGTTTCCCTCAAAACGGGAAATTTCCCAGCAATTGTCAACACCGGACGCGACGTTGCCAATTTTCCACAACGAAACGAATTCATACACGGCATAAATAACGAGATAACATCAATCATTTATAATATCACGCAATGTTGCTGCCACAGAAATTAATAATAATCATGATAGTATTACGAATTTGCATTAACTCGCGTTCGTATTTCCGATAGTAAAAATGCAATATTAGTAAAAACCAACAAAACATTCCGTTCGCCGCTCTACTATAATTTTCTGCTCGTTCTACACACAATCATCACGGTTATTTTTCACGATTCATCTCGCGCTAAACTGCAACGAGCCCGCTTTGTGTCTAGGTAAAATTAATTTCCGAAAGGTGATAAATTGCGCTGTTTGTTCGGCGACGCGCGGGGGGTTGGAAGGGAGCTTCGGCGAAAAATCGCGGATAATTAATTTTAGTTTAAAACACCCCGAACTAGTCGGATGTAGGATGAGGAATTTGTACGGCTCTAATGAAGCACTACCGAAACGAACGGTTTAATAAAGAGCCCTTCGAACGGCGCCCGACCCTTCCAAACCGCACCCGAATAGGTTAATTTATATTAAGGTTGCCGGTTTTTTAATTTGGGGAAAACGGCGGATTTTCCGCTAAAGAGAAGAACCATCAATTATAGAGGGGATTCGAAATTAAAGTTACTGCAGTTTTTTAAGCGGTCCTTCAAATACAAATGTGTTTCATTAAGCCATGTATTGAGTGTTGAAATTGTTCGAAAAATGTTGGTTGACTTAGTGTTGAAAAATTGTTCAATAAATATCATTTATTTTCTTTCAGGTGGCCAAATGCCTCTCCAGCATAGTTCATGGAGGAACTGTCCTCGTTGAGCGATAAGCAAGGATGCATAACTTGCGTCTACCGGCGGTTTTCTTGGAAGTTCTCGCGATTTTCGTGCTACCCAACGAAGCTGTAGACTCATGTAAGTATTCAACTACTATTCGAGATCCTCGAGGTTTCCATATAGCTCTCAAATCAACTCTATTTCCATCAAACTTATCGAGTATAGTAGTAGGAAGTTGGTTAGTTTTTTTCTATTGAAAAGTAACTGTTTAATGTGGATTCATGAGTTTTAAAGATAAAGATAATAGTTTTAGTGAAGTTAACAAAATTGTAGAAGACATATTTTGTAGTAATAAAATCATACAGGGTGAATCGTGAAGAACTGTACATACTTTAATAGTGTATAGAGGCACTTAAGGGTGATATCAAATAACCATTAAATTTGCATTCCTCTCTTCTTGTATTTCTTGTATTTCTTGTATTACTACCTTCTAAAATAACCAAATGAAAATGTACAGGAAGCATATACACGGTGAACTATTCAGTTTCAAATTGTATGTATTGACTTTTTTTGAGAAGGGTGCTGTATTTTTTAATTCTCAATATGCCAGTGTGTTACTAGTTTAAAAAGTATAGTACAGATAGTATAGATACACCAAATCGAATGAAGAAATGAACACAACAGGAGAAAATTTCGTAAAATTTCATAAACCACCCTGTATTAATTTTCATAAAAGAAAACACGAATGCAACTTTTAATAGTTATTTCATACTATAAGTGCCTCTATACATTGTTAAAGTATCTAACAATTTCCCATTACTCACCCTGTATTTCAATTTAAGTAACTTTAGAGAAAATTGTCCATTCAAATAAATTACTGTAGGCGCTTAATTATAATTTAATATAATGTTAGAAGCATAATTAAGTCGATTTTTAAATCCCTCTCATAAATATCAATTCGCCTAAAAAGCGTTGTTCTGTATCTATACAGTTCCCCTTATTTCAGCACAATGCATAGCACCTTTGGGGATGGAAAACGGCGCCATAAAGGACGCCGACATCACCGCCAGTTCCTCGTTCGATAGCGGCAACGTCGGACCGAAGAATGGCAGGTAATCCGCGATCGCGAAACTAGCCGAATTATTAATATCGATCATTCGAAAAAAAATAAAATAAAAATAAAAATTCCGGAATCGCCTTGTGCCGTCGCTCAGCCATCGGCACCGCGACGCTTCGCCACTCCGGGCGTCCTTCTCGCCCCCCTTTCGTTCGTAAGTAAACCAGAAATGCAACGGTCGGGTCGATATACATTCGGGAGAGGGGCCTACAGGTTACAGCCGAAATTCAAGTTCGAGCCACTTTCTCCCTCTCACCGCCATTATTTCTGTTTTATTCGTATTCGGGAGTTTATTTTAATCGACCCGGAGCTTTATCGGATTTCTATTTATAGGCGCTCGAATATCAGTCAATTCGGGACGTCGCGTTTTTATTTATTAATCGCGAAAAATTCCGGTGAGCAAAAATTGCCGGGTAATTAAAAGCTATACGGGAATTATAAAATCGCCGAGAATTTCCTCGGCGTTGTTTAAGAACGTTTAAAGGAAGGGAGACTTCTCGAATGTTGGGTCGACTTGTCTCCGGTCGAATTTGATTATTCCTCCTTGGTAATTTTAAAATCCATCTAACTCAATTATGCAGTTGTCTTCTGCTGTTCCTTCCTTCCAATTTCGCGACTCGGGGAAGCTCCGAGACGAATTTATTAGCTACATTTTATTAAAAAAAAAAGAGATTTTTTTTTGGTACATCTCGAGAAACCCACCAGAGTTTCCATTAGGAATTAAACCTGCGTGTTTCGATTTTTAATTCGCTTTTCCCAAGCCACAGCAGGAAATTCGGACCTATAGAAGAAGTCTTGTTCATAAGCGTAGCGTCTCAATAAACTTTCCATTCGACGCTGATCTTTTTCAACGTTGAAGTTTGTAATCTTATAAGAAGTTTTCGAATTTATTCAACCATCAGATACCAAGAGAAGAATCCTTTGAATATTGTAAGCAGCTTAAATATCGCGGTAATTTATTGTAAACTCAATTACATCTCGACTAGTCCTCCATTTGATGCTTCCAGTACACTCGTTTTATAACCATTCAAATTCCAATTAATTTTATTCCACATCTTCTCTCACCCGACGCGCTAATGCATCTCACACTCGCCTCCATCTGCTGCGATATTTTTTCCACTCCGGATCCACCGCCGTTTGATCAACTTAGGCATACGTGCCGGCGTAATTGGATCGAAACGCGTCCAGTTTAACTCGATTAAAGTCCTCAAAGGGCCGAATTTTCGTTCGGACTGTTGCAGAATCAGGACGGACAAAAACGGCGGCGCCTGGTGTCCCTTGAAGCAGGCCACCACCGAGCCCGAGGAGTGGATACAATTAGATTTGCGGACGGTCTACATGGTCACCGCGACGGAGACGCAGGGCCGGTTCGGCAACGGGCAGGGCATCGAATTCGCCGAGGCCTACATGGTGGAGTACTGGCGGCCGAGGCTGCAGAAGTGGATCCGCTATCACGACGTCAAAGGCGAGGAGGTGAGACTTTTTTTCCGATATTTTTTAGCTCGAACAATGCGCGAAGTTCGAGCGATATCGATAAGCCGCTTATACGAGGGAAAAAAGCTAAACTTTTCGCTCGGAACGCAATCGAATTTTCGCTTTCCAGGCGCCGAACGGACTCGCTGGGATAGCGTGACTCCGGAAAATTACAAGGATCTCGCATGAGTTAGTACTTGTAACGATCGCCGGGGGGGACGCGGGCGGTCGGTAATATCGGGGTGTATTATAGTCACAATAAAACGAAAACGTATACGGTGTGTCGATAAAAATCGGGCAGGTCGAACGGTAATTACCCGGCCGTTTCGTTCCAGGTCATTCCGGGCAACGTCAATCCCTATTTGGAGGCCAAGCGGGAACTCGACCCGCCGATTTTGGCCAGCAAAATCAGATTCTACCCCTACAGCTACCACAAGAGAACCGTTTGCATGCGAGTCGAACTCTACGGTTGCCAATGGACCGACGGAATCATCAGCTATTCCATGCCACAAGGCGACAAAAGAGGAAATAATTGGGAATTCGTCGATCTAAGGTAAAAAAAACGATTCTCCAGATTTTAATTAGAGCTTCAGAATTTAATGTTTTCTTCTTCTATTATGCGTTCTTTCTCTATCCCTTCTCTCAGGAAGTAGTATCTATAATAATACTCTTGTTGTTATCTACACCAATTGCCACATCTCCAAATAATTGCTGGTTGTTGAAGAGGGAATTAAAGATAAATTTTTGTTTAGCTACGACGGTGAATGGTCCAACAACGAGCTGAAGAACGGCCTGGGGCAATTGTCGGACGGAAAATTCGGCCACGACGACTTCAAAACCGACTTCTACGACGGGCAATCGTGGGTGGGCTGGAAGAACGAAACAAGGCACAACAAACCCATCGAAATCGTGGTGGAATTCGACAGGATCCGCGAATTCTCCGCGGTGAACATCTACTGCAACAACCAATTCACCAAAGAGATCCAAGTAATATACCGGCATGGTAGTGACCTTCAACGTTTGTTAATTTGAATCCGCAGGTGTTTTCGATGGCGAAAGTGTTCTTCAGCATCGGCGGCAAGTACTTCGACCGCGGCGAGCCGATCACCTACGAGTACATCGAGGACAGGATATTCGAGAACGCCCGCAACGTGTCGGTGAAGCTGCACCACAAGGTCGGGCGGTTCGTCAAGCTGCAGCTGCACTTCGCCGCCAAGTGGATGCTGGTCAGCGAGATCACGTTCGATTCGCTGGCGACGCACGGCGAGTTCGGCGTCGAGACGAGCCCCAGCACGACCACCCCCGCGGCGCTGCTCACCACCAGGGAGAGCCGCGACGGCGGCGCCGTCGGCGGTAAAGTCGAAGTGCCGGCGGACGAGGAAGACGGCGAGAGTGGCGGCGTGGTGGTGGTGGTGCTCATCGGGTTGATTCTGACTGTTGTCGTGGGGTTGTTCGGGGCGGTGTTGTACAGGTTCAGGAACGGGAAGTTTTTCCGGAGCGCCAACTCACCGACCATCGATTTTCCCAGTAATGTTCTACCTCATCTCCAACCGGAATCTGTATACGGTAGTTTCGAATTCTAACAATGCTGATTTTAGATTCTAATCGGTGTTTAATTCAGGCGTGAACGAGAAGAGCAGCTCGATTGAAGCTTACGTCGACGAATACAGATCGCATCACGGTACGATGAAATCCAGTTTGAGGTCCACGTTGCCACTACCCTATCCGGGAACCGTCTCCGAAAGCAACGAATATCAGGAACCATATCAAGCGATGAAATTCGCCCCGTACTACAGTTACAGCCCGGTCATCATGGAGCTACAGAATTCCTTAACGCATCTTACAGGTATGTCCACCATATCTTCCGAGGATGATGAATAATTGTATTATTCCAGATTCCAAGCAGAACACCTCGAGAAGTAGACTGAACAGCGCCTCGCCGAAACGACAACGTTTCTCCACCAATCCCTCTATGGATGGCGACACGATACAAGTAACTTATTGTACTAATTTATTATATTTCGCTAAAGTAAATGAATTTTAGAGCCCCAATCACGAGACTCTCACGGCTCTAAAGAAGCGCCTAGACGGTACACCGATCGTCGAGTTTCCACGACATCGCCTCAGAATGCTGTCCAAGTTATCGGAAGGAGCCTTCGGGACGGTAGGAGTTCTCTAAATTAACAATTATACAAATTTTTAATGAGTTAGTTCCAGGTTTACATAGCAGAGGCAGACGGTATCAACGAATTCGCATCGAATCTATCCACGGACACTAGATTAGTCGCTATAAAGTTTCTGAGCGAATCTGCCAGCGATAAGGAAAGGTAACTGGAAAGCCTTGCTGAAGAGGAAGTTTCGAGTTAAAGATGATTGTTGTGTTGCAGGAAGGATTTCTACAGAGACGTGCGAATACTGGCGGCCCTGGAAGACGCGAACATAGCCCGAGTGCTGGGCGTTTGCAGCCAGGACGAGCCGCTCTGCGTCATCATGGAATACCTGGAGCACGGCGATCTGTGCCAATTCCTCAAGACCCAGGTGCTCAAATCGATGTCGTTCGATCACCTGATCTACGTGACGACGCAAATCGCCTCCGGCATGCACTACCTGGAATGCCTGAATTTCGTCCACAGGGACCTGGCCACCAGGAACTGCCTCATCGGCGAAGGTTATCAGATTAAAATTTGTGATTTCGGAACGTACAACGAACTATACGCGAGTGATTATTACAAAGTCGACGGGAACACGCCGTTGCCCATCAGATGGATGGCATGGGAAAGCGTCTACCAATCCAGGTAAGTACCAGTTTAAATCCTTTCCAGGCTATTTGTATTCTTTCCACAACCACTATAAACTATAGTTGAATCATTAGAAGCTTCACAGTATTATTAGAACCTTCCAAATGCGAATCCTCTTATCCGGAATCTCTTCCAACCTCACCAGAAGCTAGAAGTGCAACTTTCCCAACTTCACCATCCCCGAAACCGTTCCGGTTAATCGCAACGTTGCCAAATCGTTCGTTTTATCTGAAGATACACGACGAAATCGGACGTGTGGAGTTTCGCGGTGACCATGTGGGAGATATTGACCCTGTGCCGGCGGCGTCCGTTCGACTTCCTGGTGGACCCCGAGGTGATGGAGAACCTGGCGCACCAGCGGCTGGACGACGGCCAGTTCAAGCACCTGGCGCGGCCGACCGCCCACAAGGACATCTACGATCTGATGCTGGAGTGCTGGCGGAGGAAGGACGCGGACCGGCCGAGCTTCAGGGAGATCCACCTGTTCCTGCAGAGGAAGAACTTGGGGTTCGTACCGGCGTAGTATTTTTTAGGAAGACTGGTTAGTTTAATGAGGGAACAATGTTGTAAATATAACACAGGGTGATACAATATACTTTATTATTTGGAGGCGCGGGTTTCCTGTCGCGGGTTTCGGGGTTTTGCGGAACGCGGCGTTGCCGGTTCGTTTCGTAAATCCTCGAAGTTGCGATGCAATGAACGGACCTGTAAGAGTAATAGGGACAAATGCAATTTTACGATAAAATTATTGTAGGTTGTTAGATTGTTATAATTTGTTTATCGCGCTCGAATTCGGTAATGACTTTTAGATGAAATGTATGATAGTTATTACCAAATTCATATTAATCGACCTAATTTTAGGCTTTAAGTCGCATTATTTTTTATTCTCCTTGATATATCGTAGAGACAATACTTACTTCTATATATTTAATATTATAAGTCGGCTTATTAATTTTTAATTGAAGGCCAAAATTCTACTATTTTGTAGTTTTCGTATAAACCGATACACTCTACGCACTCTAGCGCATAATTTCTTCAACTTACGAAATTCGATCCTTGCTCATCACCAAATTTGTATAAAAACTCGCACTAGAGGGTAAACGAAAACTATACAAATAGTTAAATCTAACTTTCTTTTAAAGAATCTTCACATGGCACAATAATTAATGACAATGTAATAGTAAGAAAATGTTAATGTTGAATTAAGTGTTATATTTAATTGTCAATTGGGACGCCCCCGGTAGATGTGTAATTGGGTCGATGATTTCACGAAGAGACCCTCGTACGCGCCTACTGATAGTATTTTTCTCTAAAATATTTTCTATACGTATCTATAAAAGAAAAGGACGAAGAAGACGAATTGAAACCAGACTGAGATTTTTTTGCCACGGAAAGTTTAGAAGGGCTTTAGGGATTTCATTCATCCGTTCGTTTTTACATGAAAACTGATAAAGGAAAACTAAAACGTGATATAATTTTCGAATTTTCTTTCGGGAGACAGGCCTATTCAACGAATATATTATAGTTAATTTCAATTCAACGAGAGCTCTTCTTCTTTCCTGCATATCTGTTACTTGAAATAGGTTTTTTATATTTTTCAACTGCCAAATGTACCTAAATTGTCACAATACCTTTTACTTGTAGACTGAGATAAACGCTCTTTCGCTTATGTACGTAAAAATCTCTGAAAAAGTACTATATTTTTTAAGTATAATACGATCGATTCGCAATGAATAGTAAATTAATTTTCGCAATTCGACATCACTTAAAATTTATCGTTAAATAAATTAAGTTTTATCGTGTAAACGTAGTCTCAGTGGGTATTTTAGCTATTTAGACTTCGTTTGCACAGTACTCATAAAAGTGTAATAGTTATGTTGTTTTTAACAACAATTTTTAGTACTTAATCGCTTAAAATTCGATCGTATTTTGTAGATAATTATATTTATAAGCACAGCGTATATTTATTTATTTCGAGCAGACTGCTATATAGTTATAAAAAGTAGAGAGTTATACAACGAACCGCAATTAAATTAACGAATTGTTATATTTATTTTTTCTTGTAGCGTGCAATAACGTATATTGTAAATACATTACGGTTATATTTCTCTAGACGTAGAAGGGTTGCAATTACGAGGATTTTTTTTATTTAATTTCACCGTCGAAATTAAAGCGACCCGGGCGGCCTATATACCTCAAACTAATTCTTTATTTGCGAACCTTCTACGTACATATAGCTTTAAGTAAGTGAATGTAAGTACCTAAAATTGGGAAAAATAGCTTGAACAATCAATCTTTTTCATAACCGAAATTATCGACCATTTCTTATGTCTTTTTTGCACTGAACAATGACCATACTCATTTTTAATTGCCTTTTTATTTCGACGAAAAGGGTGAATTTGCGGAAGGCGAATCGCCGGGGGATTTCTGCGGAATTTCGGCAACGTCGGGATAATAAGGGGTTTAGGCGAGTACCGTTATCTTGCGAAATCCCGCAAGTACCGTTATTTACCTGGAAAACGGGCAATTCGTGATGTTTTTGCGGATTGTAACTGTTTATTGCTATACGACTCGAGTTTTTTAGACGAAAATATACCTACCAATAAAAGGCAGTACCTTTTTTTATTATGTTATTTGCGAGAAATAAAATGTTGTTTTTTAGTTCGGCAAAAATACTTCGTTTTAGATAAACGCAAAATAATGTTTCCACAATTTTATTACTAAAAAGTACAAAAATATAAAATATCTATAAATTATTATTAGCACTCTAATACGGGGTTTCGTAGGACTTAAAAAATCTAGAAACCGACTGTTTTAAGCCCTACGAAACCGGTCCTAAATTCTCTTTAATGCTAATGACAAGAAGGATCAATCACTTTCACAAAACGCGAGGTAAATTGTTCATAACGCTTTTGCTCACTTAACTCATCTAATCAGAACTCGACTCGAATCACAACCATAGTACTCCCAACACTTTCAATTCCCCAATTCGCCGATTAAAACTAGCGATACACGATACTCTGCAGCCGCTCCCTTTCGTTCTCCATGGCGGCGAGCCGGAACTTGAGCTGTATGTTCTCCTGCTCGAGGAAGGCGCACCGGATGGCGATCTCGTCCTCCTTGGCCCTCCTGGCGTCGCGCGACCTCTTCGCCGCCTCGTTGTTCTTCTTCCTCTTCTCCCAATAACCCGGGTCCGAGTTGAGGGCGTTGGCGTTCTGCGAGCGCCGCATGTTCTTGTTGGTGGCGCCGCCGCCGGCCTGCACGCGCGCCATCATCTTCTCCCTGAACTCCGCGTACGCCTCCACCGAGTCCTTGCCGAGGAGGTCGCGCGTCGTGCCGAGCAGCGCCAGCGACAGCGGGTCCTTGGGGTAGGCCTTGAAGGGGCGGCTGCCGCGCTGCCGGCTGGAGGACACCTGGGCGTTGGCCTCCGTGGAGGAGACGTCGGAGACGTCGGACTTGGGGCTGGAGCGGTCGGAGCGCTTGCTGCTGTCGTAGGGGTGGAAGTCGGGCGTGAGGGGGCGCTTGCGTACGCAGAGGTCGAGCACGGGGGCGTCCTGGTGGTCCTGGCGGTGGTGGTTAAGGTGGTGGCGTTGGTGCATCATCGGCAGGAACACCGGCATTTGGGTTTGGTGGTGGTCCATCTGTAATGAATGGTTTGGTGAGATTTTGATGGTTAGCGGTTGGGTGGAAATCCTTCAATTAATCCCTGATTAATCCCTGAATTCTGCTTACCGTGTACACACAATTTAAATTTAAACTCCATTCCATGGGATGAATTGGAAGTGTTTAAAGTGAATTGTTTCCTCTTTCAACAAATATTTACGATTGATTTAATATATTTCACACTTCATACTACAAATACGTCTGTCTGCAATAATTAGTTCTTAAATAGGCTTTGATTTTAAATACGGTAATTAATAAACGATCAATATTTACGCAATAATCATGGTGAAAAACTCATGAATGGGATTTTTAATTTACTTATTTTTTTACAATTTTTTATGCCTAGTACATCAATCTTTTGTAAATTTTTTTTTATAACAAAATAGCCTAGATATAAAAATCAATTTCTCATTTAATCTAATATTAATTCAGTTAGGTAGTTAATTATTGAAGCAAATGCCGATGAAACAAAATTCTGTAATAATCTCACGTAATAATTTTTATTTATTACTATACACTAAATATGTATTTTAATATTTAACGTAAAAGTGCCTAATTACCAATTTATATTTATCGTTATTTAGCAATAACGTCAAACGAGCGGTAGTTTCAATAATTAATAAAATCCAAAAATACAAACAAAATTATTGTTATTAACTATTAGACAAAAATTTATCGTACACTAATAATTACTTAATGAATAATTAAAATACGCGTTATTTGCTAATTAGGGGGGTTTTCTAGTTCATTTCACGCCAAAATCTTCTACTTAATTAACGATAAAATTACTTACAATTGTAAATGAAAGGTCGCTATTAATTTTCCTCTATTTCGAAAACACAACAAAAATCCGTATATTATTTCCTGGGTGGTTTTCCGTCCCACTCGTAACGCGCTCGAAACTCAATTAAATTGCAGAAAATCCTAAATTGCACTGTGACATTTTCCCAAAATTTATTCGGGGCATTTCTTGCGGAATTCTTGACCAATGAGGGTGCGTATTCGCATCCCCGCCTCACCATCGACGAGTAAATGCATTTTGCACTTCACAAATCCGGCATGGGGCAAGTAAATTTGCACGCACATTTCCAATTTAATCTCGGCGTATTTAGCTAAATTTTGGGGGATAAATTGGTATTTATCCCATCTAAACTCCAGCTAGGATTGTTAATATTTTAGTAAAAGAATTAAATATAAGGGAATATGATAACTTGTTGAATTTTGTTTTGATTATTGCGAATTTGTGTGGATTATGTTGTGGTGGTTGTTTGCAGTTGGTTCGTTGCTGACCGTGGGTACTTTTAAGCAGTACCGTTAGGTAGTTAAGGGTTGTTTGGGTTCCTTTATTGTGGTGCCGATTTTTGCATACGCATTTTACAGTTTTTTGCAATGTTATCGAAATCCGTTTGAATCGAGCGAAATGTTGAATATGTTTCCCTCTAATTTTAGATATAAATAATTTTTGCGAAATTGATAAAAATATTTTTCGCTGTGATTTTCACGCTCGAATCGGCGACAAGACGCGAATTTACAAGTGTTTTTTACAACTCTCTGCGGCGTCCTTTCATTTCCAGGTATCCGGGGTAAAAAAGTTTCTCCTCTTTTGTCGACCGGCGTTTTTTGCTAATTTTACTGTTATTGTTGCAATAAATCGCAAATTTGTCTTGGATCTGCGATCGGGGCGCTCCGAAGAAAGTTTTATTGCCCTGAATATCTTTTTTTTAAACGACCCCTTTTCGCACACTTCCTTTAAAAAGAAACTAGTCCAATATTTTTTGTTCGCTAATTCATCTAACTTTAACCCATCCTTTTATAACACTTTGCTTGAGTTTTTTTATCACTAATAAATCATAGTTTATAAAGGCAATAGTTTGGATTTTTCGATGATTTTTGGCAAATTTTCACGATGTATATTCCATGTGTAAACGTTGCTTTCCACATAAGCTCACATGCACTGAATATCTTCCTTGTTTTGCGGATATTTGTGTTGGTTTTGTCGCTAGGTTATGGGGGTAAATCGCAAATGAATGACTCAGATATATTGTAGAAGGGTTGATGTATTGTTGCACTTACATGTTGTGAAGACCTTGGAATTGCAAAATTTTCTATTTCCTAGTTTTCCTGGGAATCTCTCTTTTACAGCATCATGCGATTCATGAATTTATTGTGGAACTGAACAAGTGCAAGAGCTTTGCGAAATTTCTAATGGGAAATTGAACGCCTAATTGCCGTTCGTTTTACGACTGCAGAGGTTTATGCAAATAGCCGAAAATTTTACGACGCTTTACGATTTTCCAGTAAAAGCGTGCCCGTCACAACCCTTTAAAATTTACGCACCCGACCAAGAATGCCAGCTATAACAATGGTGGTTTCTACCGGGCGTCGTAAATCATATTAAACGCAGAAATCTAAATTGCTACGGGGATTTTTGGAAAGGCCCGAGATTGCCATCGCGTCCGCTCTCGCCCCCGTTTAACTCGTCGCAAATTCGGGCGATTTGCTTAGGTTAAGATTGCACATCTTTCGCGACGTCTTCGGCCGCTAATCCGGCCGCCCCCGCAACGCCCCCACACCGGGAAGGGTTAGCTCCGGCCGTGCAAACAATGGCCCTTTCCCCGAAAACTCGCCCGTCAACTTTGCGACTGACAGCCACCGGACAATGGCATATTCTAATCCCTTCGATGTGTCCTCAGGTGTGGTCCAATATCGTAATTGTGTAACCGAGATAAGTACATAATTGCAGGGAAAGTTTGTAATCTTGCATAGATTTGTATCTGGAAAATTTACCGTTGTTTCCTAGCGAATTTTAAGCGTTCCCCGATCTATTGGTAGGTATCTTCGAAATACCCTATTAAATTTGAATCTGTTTATCGTCCCTTCGCGCTGTAGCCACCCCGAATTCCACCCACATATTCGCCCTTTTCGCACATGTCGAGATTTGCGGAAGCGGAAGGGTTGCGCTCCCTTCCCGGGTTTATAGCGGAACGTTCGCACGAGAATTCCGAATTTCGGACGGCCGATTTTTGTTAGAATTCGCTCCCGCCTGAACGCGATATTAATTACACCTGCCTAACAAGTTTAACAAATTTCGCCGGAATTTAATAATTGTTGAGAAAGAGAACGAGAGGGTTCCGCGCGGTAGGAATTTGCGGTACAAATGACCTGAATATCTCCATTCGTCGGCGCCCCCTGGAGATTTCCTCACGGTTGATAAATGACATTTACCACTAATACACCGTACTGCCTTCTCATAATGCAACGTCCCGTTTTCGAAAAACATCATTACGGGAAACCGATATGCACGTAGGAATATGTGTCGCTCGAGAATCACACGAACCACGCACACAAAAAGGAACCCTTTTTTCGGGGGTGGCAGATGTTTCGCTCGCTTGTAATATAGGTCAAAAGCATTAGACGTATTTGCCGTGGGGATTAGAGAATGGTCAATGTGTATACAGTTATCAGTTCGGCAATGGACACGTCCATCATAATTCTTTCAATGAGGAAGAGTTAGAGAAACGCCAGGAGCGTATTCGATTGATTTTTATCTCGTTTTTGGTGATCTTATCTTACGTTGGGTGGTGCAGTTGTCCAGTAACTCGCTCCAACTCACTGCATCAGATTATTGAAATTGAATTTTGTACTTTATTTTGTATTTTTTTTCTAGTAGGTAACTTCAGGGAGTGATGGATAAATATTTATATCCAGAAACTCTCTTCAACAAAACTATCAATTCATAAGCCTATAAATGAATATTTTAGCTTGGAGCTTATTTTTGCGAAAAAAGAATTATTTAATCTTCCGGTTTTGGTCAGTTCCCATCCAATGGTGGCACAAAAGGAGATATCACCGTCGATTGAATGGGTGCAAAATGTATGGTTGTGTTGACACGGCATTCACCCGTCCTTTCAGGAAGAAACCTCTTTATTAAAGGGCTGTACTCGCGTGGCAGATGGATTTTCGATGTTCGTTTTGCGGTGGTTTGTTCAATTTTGCCGTTATTCCTTCGTATACTTAAAAATCCTTACTTACAGCTCTCTCTAGCTCTAGAAGAACTTTATAAGTGCAAAAAAGGGCCACTTTAGCTCAATTTACATGTGCACAATTTTATTTATATCTTATTCAAATACAAACGAAATTGGTAAATGGGAAAAAAACGATCATTAACAAGGGTTTTCATTGACTTTACCGTTAGAAAAAATGATCGATCGGATTATGCGAATCTAATCCTTTCGACGTTTGCAAAATAAGTTCTTAACTCGAAAGATTGCATTTTGTGCGGTTCTTCGGCTACCTGCGTGTTTGTCACTTGTCACGGTGGCCTGCCCTCTGTAAATACGCGCATTATGAAAGGCCTGCATTCGGTCATACAAAAAGTAACTGCTCTTTGCGTCTCCATTGTGGAAGAAACAGCAATTGATATATTCGCGCAGGACAGGATTCGATGATTTAACTGTTTAGGGGGAGGATGTATTGGGACTTGTATTGTTACGAGTACATTTAGATGTACTGCTTTTTGTAATTTAATGAAATAAAAGCTAAATTAGGTTGTATGATTTTATTTGAAGCAGGTAAGTAATAGATTATTTTTTTATTGTTTTATATTCATTTACAGCCAGTTTCTTAACTCGAACAAATATGATGGAAACTCTATATTTATTTCGTTTTGTAGAGATTGATTACAAAAATTCTATTACTTAAAATATTGCATTTTTTTTCTTATTAATCGTAAATCACTCATTCAATCGATTGATAGGTAATTCAACTCATTATTCGTCATTTCATTTCTTCGATTCGGTTGAACAATCTTTTAATTAGTCATTTATTCCTCATTTATCCTCAAAACGCGTCATTTTCATTCCCTTTTCTACCTATAAATAAATCAGAAAGGTGTTTGAAAATGTTCGCTCTGCAAAATTTTTATTTGTTGATAAATGAATAATGTTGATTTGCAAATTGCTCAATAGGTTAATATGTTTATTGTACTTTGATTTAACTAATAGGTCAATGTTCAAGAGCGTAAACAAGTACTAAAAATACTTTTAAAGGGGTCATAAACTTACCTAAAACTCTAAAATTAAGTTTAATACCACAAAGTGGAACGCCTTACCTCGATTATTTAAGAGAAAAATGGGAAATTAGTAAGCAGTAATTTATTGTTTAACATAGTAGGATAAATACATTGAAAACAAAACATTAAAATAATAAATATTTACTTTTCTAGTAAATTAACCTCAAAAATATTATGTACAACTGTCATTGCATTTCCTCTGTTATATCAGGTATTCAGTTACTTCAATCAGTCAAATAAAAAGAAGAAATGTCATCGTAAAATGGCAACGTTGCATGATCTGTCACAAACGTCGATTGTCAGTTGCTTTCTTCTTCCTCTTGCGGTACTTTTAGAACATTTTTTACACAAAGAATGATAAATATGAAGTAATTTATGAGTAATGATGATAGTAAAATATCCAATTATCTAAATAAAAGTGAAACCGTCGATAAATGTTTGTTTGAAACAATTTGGCGATAAAATAAAACAAAGTTGGCAGCGGTTTTGGTTAGAAAGCCGAGTGACATTTTATAGGGTTTTCCTGTTTTCCATCAGTGTTGCGGGAGTGGTGTTTGTTTCGTGGTGTTGCATTTGTCGTGTTGTGAACGAACGGTAAAGCGATGTTCGGTGAAGTCGAAAAGGGCCCGTATTTCGTCAAAAAATCCCTCGTACGCTAAACGATCGAGTGAAAGTTAGTTTCGTAAAAATATGCCCATTAAGTTATTCTAGACATGTTTCGGTGCATACCTATTTTTAAAGGCTGTAACAGACAAATCGAAACGGTAGATAAGAGACACAGTTCTCTAATAAACGTTCCCGAAGATATTTTAAGACATTCGAGGACTCTAGAGGAGCTCTTATTGGACGCCAATAGAATACAAGTTCTTCCAAAGGTAACTAGACGGAACGCGACTATCGCGTTCGTTTGTTTATGTGAAAAAAAAATGGTGTTTCTTTTCAGAACCTTTTCCGGCTGCACAGATTGAGGAAACTCGGTTTAAGCGACAACGAAATCAACCATTTGCCATCTGATATACAAAATTTCGAGCATCTAGTCGAACTTGACGTCTCCAGAAATGGTAAGTAAAAATAATGCAAAACTGGCTGGATAACTACGTTGCTCGACTAGTTAGAGGAAACCTGTTTTCCGATTATCGCGCGATTCATTTATTTTTCGAACTACTTATTACACAGCAAATGTGGGAAATAAAACGATTGTTGTTCGCGTAATAACTGCTCCTCGTAGCGTAAATAAAATATGTTTACAGTATTCCGAGAAGTGGCTGCATAACCAGATTGTAGGAACTCAAAAGCAAAACTTTGCAATGTTTGAATCTCACGGAAAACGACCTTGATCGAATGTTTTAAAAACATTGCTTACTTTAAAATATTTACATAATTTTAATGTACAGTTAATGAGGATGCGTAATCGAATTTTGCTACATATTTCTACAGTAAACAATTCCTTTTCGAACTTATAATTGATCAATTAGGTGGTATTTTCCGATTGGGAACCTTTACGTTAAACTATATGAATTTAATAACAAGGTTAATTGGTCCCTTAAAAGTTTGTTGAACTAATTACATTCGTACATTCCAGCATGCGTGAAGGCTATAGGTATAATTTATTCGACTATCGACTATGATAAAATAAATTGTAGTTTCCATTACAACGGTGATTGGTTAAATTTACATGTATTTGCCTTTATAAGGCGTTCCTTTTTCGCTAGATAATATTTCTGGGCGTGATAAACATACAAATTTATATTCTACATGAATATATCGTGAAAATAAGGAGCACCCTGTATAATATGAAGTTTCTAACAGTCTTTTTTTCGTATCTAACAACAAATTGATTTATCCTCTCAAAGTAGAAGACTATTAGCGTGTCCCATAGAACTTTTTGTCACTATTATGTTTGCGTCTCGATATCAAAGAATAGGACAATTAAAATTAATTCCACCCTCTTTCATCGTTCGTTTCGAATAGTCTTTCACACGGGCTAACGGGTTTGCGACGTTGCCGGTTCGATTCACTCCGCTTTGATCGCTTAATTGGAAACCAAAAGCAATTAATGCACTTTCTCTAATGCATCGAAGAACGAAAGATGAACGATGAAATTTGCTGTAACTCGGCCGGTATTATTCGTGATAATTTCACGTTTTAAATCGCTATCTTTTCGACGTCTAGCGTTCTTGCGGCTTCTGGTTTACCTATATCGGACTAAACGCGAATATCCTTCCTTTTTACTCGATTACTCGAGATACCCTCTTATTGGTATCGCGTTTCCGCAAGAAAACAGACACTCAGCGGCGCCACATGCTACAAAAAACCAGTATTTTCACCTCTAGATAAAGCTTGGAATACACTATCGTTAACATTAGAATGCACAGACTGTCTTATCGAATATTGAAATGTTAGGAAAGTATAGAGACTTCAATAGAGGAATTATAGAGATACTAAGAGAAGTTTGGAAAGACCTGAAGTATTCTACGAAAGTATGGAAAGTACTTCACAGGTCTAGATTTGTTAGGAATGAGCTGGTGTAATCTAAAAAGATATATAGAGATCTGTACAGTTCTTTAACCTTAGCTTAATGATGATAGTTTTCTTCGTCTTCTTCCTCAACCATTTGTTGTCCACTACTGCACTTAGGCCTCTTTCCAGCTTCTCTGTCTTGAGCTATTTGGAGCCAATCCCTTCTTGTTTGTTTTGCTATCATTGGGTCATTTCTTCTGTGGTATATGAGGACGAGTTCCAGGTAGTTTGAACGGTCTTATTGTTCCAGACATTCCGGACATCCCCGAAACGATCGGGCAGCTCCGGTTGTTGCGCGTGGCCGACTTCAGCTCGAATCCGATACCGCGTCTTCCGCCGACGTTCGGCCAGCTCAAGTCGCTCACCGTGCTCGGCCTCAACGACATGTCGCTCACGTCGCTGCCGCACGACTTCGGCCGCTTGGTGTCGCTCACGTCGCTCGAGTTGCGCGAGAACCTGCTCAAGGAGCTGCCCGCCTCGCTGTCGATGCTGACCAACTTGGAGCGGCTCGATTTGGGCGACAACGAGATCGAGGAATTGGTGAGGATTTTTCCGCTATTTATCCGAAGCGTTTCGGTTTGATTTTGTATACGCGTTTTTCGTTTAGCCGCCGCACATCGGCAAATTGCCGGCGCTGCAGGAGCTTTGGTTGGACCACAACCAGTTGCAGAACCTGCCGGCCGAGATCGGCCAGCTGAGCAACCTGACCTGCTTGGATTTGTCCGAGAACCGGCTGGAGAATCTGCCCGAAGAGGTGGCCGGGCTGGAGAGCTTGACCGATCTGCACCTGTCGCAGAACGTGTTGGAAACGCTGCCGGACGGCATCGGGAAATTGGAGAAGCTCACCATTCTCAAAGTCGACCAGAACCGGCTGACGTCGCTCAACAACAACGTGGGCCACTGTCGCAATTTGCAGGAGCTCATCCTCACCGAGAACTTCCTCAGCGAGCTGCCGTCGGAGATCGGCAAACTCGTGAGGCTGACGAACCTGAACGTCGACAGGAACAGTCTGACGTCGATTCCGGAGGATTTGGGCAACCTGCGCGAATTGGGCGTGCTCAGTTTGAGGGACAACCGGCTGGCGATGTTGCCGGATCGTTTGGGCGACTGCGTCAGGTTGCACGTGCTCGACGTGTCGGGCAACCGGCTGCCCTATCTGCCCTACACGCTGTTGCAGTTGAGCCTCAAAGCCGTGTGGTTGAGCGACAACCAGGCGCAACCGTTGCTCACGTTTCAAACGGACACCGATCCCGAGACGGGCAAGACCGTTTTGACGTGTTTCCTGCTGCCCCAGCAGGAGTACCAACCGGCTATCGGTAAGATTTGTTTTATTATTTCTTGTACTCTTTTTTGGTTTGTTACTATTTATACATTTTATTGTAAATTGTGTTTTGGAAGTAGGAAGTAAATTCTCGTTTTTTTTTGTAATGTTGATGATGCTTATATGCTACATTCAAGGGTAAGGTGAAAAGTTCTCGGCCTGACAATGAACTACTGCGATTTTCAGTTAAGAAATTACATTATTCGTCTAATCAATTCGAAATCTATAGTTTAAGACGGTTCTAAATAATTCTGGAGCGTTCTAAATGGTTTTAGATAGTTCTAAGTGAATCTGGAGCGTTCTAAATGGCTCTAGACAGTTCTCACTGAATCTGGAGCGTTTTAAATGGTTCTAGACAGCTCTGAATGATTCTAGAGCATTCTAGACAGTTTTAAATGATTCTAGAGCTTTCTAAATGATTATGGAGCGTTCTAAATGGTTCTAGACAGTTCTAGATTGATTCTAGAGCGTTCTAAATTGTTCTCAAGCGTACCATATGGTCCTGAAGCGTGCCAAACTGTTCTGAAGCGTTCTAAATAGTTCTAGACAGTACTAAATGATTCTGAAGCTTTCTAATTAGTTCTGGACAATTCTAAATGATTTGGGCCGACAACTTTTCACCCTACCCTTGTATTGTACAGCTTTGTTCTTATGTACTTACATGTTATTTTTTATTTTTTGTGCGTTTCGTTAATTCGTTTTTTTTTTTCGTTTTTTTTCCGTTTTTTTCGTTTGGTTCTGGTCCTTGTGCAGCATCGGACGGTCGCTTTTACGCTTGCGACGTTAAGCCCGGCTTACGTTCTAACGGTAGTTCTACGTTGTCTCCGACAGATGGCGCGGCGACGGAGGAGGACGAAGAGGACGATGAGGATTGGAGGGAGCGCGAGGCGAACAGGACGCACTCGGTGAAGTTCACCGACGCCCAAGAGAAGGATAACAGAGAGGTGAGGAACAGTTTGTCTTCTACTACGTTGATGGTGTTGGTGAGGGTGTACGATACCGGTAAAAATTGGCTGGTGAGCCGGTGTTGCGCCGGCGGGTCGGGCGTCGCCAGCAGGAGTAACAGTTATTACATGTTGAATGCGATGAGGGAATTGGACGAGATTTACTCGTATAACAATCGGAACGAGTACGTGTGACGGGGGCTTAAGGTGTCGGTTTAGAAATGATGTTAAATGATTGCCGGTTTCGTGTTAGCGGATTCGGAACGGAATTTATGGAATACCCGTTATATAAAAATATGAAAAAAAATATATAATAGACGTGCTTATCGGTTTGTTTCGTTCCGCCGCAATAATTTATTATTAAACGATTTGAATAATGTTTTTACTAGCGTGATTTTGTCACATATTTTCGGGGTTTTTAAAGTACATAAACCCGTTCAAATTGTAAACTACAAAGACTGCTTTTATTAGTATTTTTATTAAATTATTTTCGAAAATGATCTCTTTTATCGCAAACAAAATAAAACCAAAAACGTGCCTTCGATAAGCTTCCTGTATATTAGCATTGCATTCAACGTGTTTAAATATCTGCGGTGCTCGAATAGACTTTTCGTCGGAATACTTAATTGTTGGAAATGTAAAAATAAAACGGTTTTTACCGCTCGCCGGGTCGTTTTTCCATCGTAGTGGCATTCCAGAAAATTGATGAAAAATTTTTAGTATTATATTTAGTGGTGTACAAGCGAAACGATCGTTTTTATTGTTATTTAATTTAGATTGTACTGTAATGGAAAACAAAACTAACAAATTAATCGTCGTTCTAATCGAGCTTTCGATGGTGTTTTCGTGTTTTTCGGTTACTTAATAATTTCGTTTTAAAAATATTATCGAAAGCTTTGAATAATTAATTAGTAGTTCTGATAGATAAATAATTATTAAAATTGGTCATGATGAAGTGTTGAAAATAAAATCGTGGATTTTCAACATTTGTAACAGGATGACTGGTTTTAATTGAATAATAACAAGCATGTTTTGTATACATTCAATGGGCTGTGGTTTTGCATTTTTTGTGCACACTAAATATATTCAATTACACAGGGTAATCTCCATTTTAAAATACAGTCGGTGCAAAACAAATATGAATGCACGTCACCTATAATTTACTACGTCACAAGTAGGCAGTGTTGCCGAACTTTTATAGAGTTTACACAAAATGTAAGAATTTTCTAAAACTGCCAAATGGCAAAATGATAAGAACAAATTGAAAATTAGGGGTACCTGTTTCACATTTCTAAACAGAAAACTTAGTATAATTAATCATCAAATTCCTTTATCATCTGAAACTTATTTAACAGTTCGAGTAAAAAAATTAGTGTACAATTTACCTTTTAAAGTGTATGAAATTGAAATTTCTGAATCTGAACTATTTAGAGTTTAAATTCTGTTATTTCTAACATGTGGATAACTATCCAAAAATTCTTATTTCTTGATTATTAGGCTGAATAGCTTTTAGTAGTTGAGGCTAGTAAACTCGTAAATAGGAAGAAGAAATTGAAAATTAAAGTACCGATCGGATGAAAACGGCAACTATACAACTTGACAGTCAGTGCCTACCAACCTACTATAAGAAAATAATAATTTTATATACAAACGTTGAATTATGACAATATATATTTTTTGGATGATTTAATTCTGCTTTTAAACATTTTCTATCATCTCTTGTTAATATTAAATTAAATTCTGCAGGTATTAGGCTTAAATCTATTTTGTGTATTTGTTTTTCAAAGTTGGTCACAATGCTTTTCAAATATGACGACAGTAGTGACGTGCATTGATATTTGTTTTGCACCGACTATATCAACTTATTCATTACCTATTTTAAATGTAGTTTGTGTTATATTGCTAATGCAAAAGATCATAGTGTTTGTTGTATTTTCGATATTTGTACGGTCTTTTTAATAAAATAAAAGGAAAATTATCGCAAAATTATTAAAACTATAAACGTCTCCTCAAGTATTATAACGGTTGTTGTTCAAATTATTTCCACATATTGCGAATAATTTTATTGAAACGACCTTCAACCCATTAACCAAAAGTAGTCGTATAATAAATTATAATATTTTTTTTTTTCGTTTGTATGTTAGCATTTTGTTCTTATTTTTTTTGTAATATATTTTGTTGACTATACCGCATGGACGTTTAATTATTCCGATACACACAAACGCACGAAAACCACTCGGAATTTATTAACACACGACAATTACCGAGCGGTTTTCCTTCAGCTCCTTTCATCATTTTAATTTTGTATTAAGTAATTTTCACTCATTCTGTAGTTATATGTAATTTGGTGGTGGTTTTCTCGATTTACATTTCCAACAATAGAGTAAATTAGTTATTAGAAATGCCACCAGATGTTCGTTGACTTACAAAATTTAGTAGCTTGGTGCTTTTTGTAGGTGACTGGTTTAAAAAAATTAGTTGGTCCGCTAAATGGTTATCATAACCTGTAGGTTATCGACCGAGGATAAGGTTTTGTTGTATACGTTACGGGTAAAGTTAGATAAACGACTAAACCTAGGTTTACCCGAGTAAACTGCGAAATACGGGTAGAGTAGGTTTCACGAGGCATAACGGGAATTCAAGAAACCTACCCTACCAGGGTAAACTGCGAATAGGTTTCACTAATTAGTCAATTCTCCAATTTTTGGATAACAATGGCGAAGATAGATGTGTTTGATACGAATTTCGAGAATTTGAACTCCTTATTTTTGCTACACTGCAGTTTACCCTTGAATTCCAGCAGAAGTCGTACCGTTTAAACGACTAGAAGAATTTTCGCTTAAACAACAAAACCCGCCATCATCAGAAACACCTCTCCGTAGTCCGATTAATCCGTTTATTTTTACCTTACGATTTTCGTTCGAGTTTATAGAACATTACGTATGAGTAATACGTAGGCAAACAAAGCAGCATTCCGCTCGAACTGATAACGGATATTACACACCGTAAAATATCAACAAAATCGTATATAGAACAATCAATACGGGGGGCATTCGGAAAATTTCGAAAAACTACTTAAGGTATCCGTTACAGACCCCGTTCGTCAGGCACAACACGCCCCATCCCAGGGAACTGAAGGCCAAGGCGCACAAATTGTTCGCCAAAGGCCAGAACTCCTTGGAGGAGAGCTCCGAACGCCAAGCGGACGACCAAGCGCCCGCCGATGCCGTTAACCGATCGGTCAAACAGCCCGGCAGGACTCCGCAGGTAAGCGACCACTAAACTGTTGTTAGAGTACAGTGCAAAGGTGAATTTATTTCGCAGATCATCGAGCCTGTGGACGGAAATTTCGGCAACAATGGCCAAATGGAGGAAACCAGCGAACCCAGCCAAGACGATGACACGGATGACGTAAGTTTATATACTTCTACCAAGCAAATCCGGTCGATTACGAACACTTGTTACACTTATTCAGAAGTTTGTTTATAATGAATTGGTTTTGTAACCCAACGATTATGTATTTCGGAGTTTTAAACATGGCAACGAACACGGCATTTTCATCTGAAAGTGAGGTTAGTTTGTTATCATTCTTCTGCCATTTAGAACGCTCCAGAATCGTCTAGAACCATTAAGGAACGATCCGAAACTATTTAGAACTGAACACTAGAATAATTTAGTGCTTAGAACTCTCCAGACTGATTTAAAACGCTCTAGAATCATTTAAATGTCTAGAATAATTATTTAGAATGCTATATAACCATTTAGAACTCTCCAAACTCGTTTAGAGCGCTGCAGAATCATTCAGAACTGTCCAAAACAATCTAGAACGCTCCATCATCATTTAGAACTATCCAGGTTCATTTAGAACGCTCCAGAATCATTTAGAACTGTCTGGACCAATTATTTGGAATGGTATAGAACCATTTAGTACTCTCCAAACTCGTTTAGAGCGCTGCAGAATCGTTCAGAACTGTCCAAAACAATCTAAAACGCTCTAAAATCATTTAAAACTGTCTAGAACAATTATTTAGAATGCTATAGAACCATTTAGAACTCTCCAAACTCGTTTAGAACGCTCCAGAATCATTCAGAACTTTAGAACTATATAGGCTCATTTAGAACGCTCCAGAATTATTTAAAACTGCCTAGAATCATTTAGAACACTTCAGAACCATTTAAATCTGTTTAGAATATTGATGATCTCATTTTCATCTTGATTAAGATTCAAATAATCAACGTTGCCATGTTTAAATTTCGGAAATATATAACAGTTGGTTACAAAACCATTTGGTTATAAAAAAAACCCCTGAATACGGCGGTTGAATACTCAAAAAACAAAACGATAATGAACAGATTGGTATAATACGATCGGGTTATCCAGCGCATTTTCTCCTAAACGCTGGCCTCTTACGTGTCGGGCGAACCGTTTACGAGAGAATCCCGCTGCGTTCGACATTACGACATTATGACACATGTCACGGCGTCCACGTCTCTTCTCAGGACCACGTGACGTTGCGTCGCGTCGGATTCGTCGGCGGCGTCGCGGCGACGGAGGACGGCGCCGGCGACTCGACGAAGCCGAGCCGGTTGCACCGTCGCGACACCCCGCACCATCTCAAGAACAAACGAATCACGGCGACGGCCGTCGACGAGGATAAGGTGGCTTCGATCATTGCTCAGGTCTCTATAATAACGAACGATATAATTGTCCTGCTGTTTGTGCTTTTTTTGTTATTTTTTTGTTTTGTTTTGTTTTCGAGTTATCTGTGGAATTTCCTTGTGGGGTTTATCGGTACCGCTTCGGGTACCACTCGACTTTTCTATTATCGATTTTCTATTAGCGTGTAGTTCTATTTTTAAACGTGATGTAAATATGCATTGCTTTGTGCACGATTTCTGGTAAACGGCGTAAAATCGCGACGATCCGGCAACGGCGCTTCGAATTTTCGAAGAGACTAAACTATTTTATTATACAATTATAGCTTTTTTTGTTTAGCATTCTCTTGACCTTTTTCCGCCCGTTAGACGTTACTTAACCTTTAGTTTGAATCGTTTTACGATTGGAAAAGTGAAAGCAACATGTCGAAACTCGTACCTATCGGGTTTTATTGGCGTATACGTAACGCGAATGTAAATAAAAGGAACGTTTAGAAATCCGCTCTGGTTATTTGAAGACAAAAAAATGTATTTTATTATCGGGACGCTCGGTATCTAGAAATATCCTGTACGAGGTTAGGATGAAAAGATCTCGGTCTGATACACTCAGGGCGCTCCAATCAACAAAAATTCTCGTTTCCTCTTTGGGACATTTATAATTAATTCCAGGACTATTTAGAACGCTCCAGAATGAATTAGAACTGTTTAAAACGCTCCACCATTTAGAAATGTCTAAAACCATTTAGAACGCTTCAGAACCATTTAGAACTATCTAAAACAATTTAGAACGCTTCAGAACCATTTTGAACTTCCCAGGACTATTTAGAACTGTCTAAAACAATTTAGAACGCTTCAGAACCATTTTGAACTTTCCAGAATCATTCAGAAGAGTCTTGAACTAAATATTTTGACATAAAAAGAAGAACAGTGTAATTTTTTCAACTGAAAATCGCGGTCTTTCGTTGTCTTGGTCGAGAACTTTTCACCTTACCCTTGTAAAGTGTCGATTTTTTCAAACCTACAGTGTTGGGACATGTCGAGAAAATTCCGGATGCTCATCACAGCGCATATTTCTCATTGTATTCTGGAAGTTCAGTCACGAATATCGTCTACTTATGCCTCTTTGATACTTATCTGGATTATTAATAGATCTTTTTTTTTATCGAGATATCGCTTGCAATAAACACGTTTTAATCTCAATTTTCCGCAATTCGAGACTTAGAAAGTATTTTTTTACCGTTGCATTTTTTCGTTGTTAAACCGTGGAATATAGGCCGCGATATCAGCTATAATATAACGTAAAAAGTATGCCGATTGGACATTCGATATGATTTAATAAAACGACGTGATAAATGGTTTATTTCTCTCGAATGCTGCGACAATGCGACTCGGATTTTCGACTCCGCGGATCCTTTTCCATCTCGATCCTCCCGCTTATCAAGCTTTACGATTTGCGAGCTTTAAACGCGAAAATTAACACAAAAAAAAGGTCTTCATTTTCGATTTTTTTTCGCAGGCGCTCAAGAGGAAAGAGGACGAAAGTGACATGACGAGCGTTTCGACCCCGCCGGGCTCCGTCGGCGACAGGAGCTGCTCCTCCAGCCAAGGTAAAGTCTATTTTTAATATCATTGCGTAAACCGAACAGTTACACGAGAAACCAGTTACCGAATAACGGTTATTCCGGCGCAACACCCACCTCTACATTCCAGCGGAGTTTCTGCAAACAAACCGCAAACGAAACGCACGTCCTCTCGTCCCGTCCCGCTCTATCTTAAGGACATTTAAAGAGATGAAATCCTCTTCGATTGCTTACCTGCTCGTCGCCCCCACCATAAGCTCATTCGCTCTCGACTAGCTGTATAAATGCGATCGGTTTGTTTATTGTATTATTACATTAAAACCAGCGAGTTATTACGTGTAGCACCGGTCCAGGTAGAATGTAATTCAGTCACCGGCCCGTCGATAGAGATGGGCGCAACTGGATGCGCGGAACTGCTCCAAGGGAACCGTTCGAGCGGTTAATGAACTATTTTTTTTTTGTTTGAGTAGTTGAGTAAGGGCGGGTTTGTTTGTGATTGGTAGAGCTTGGAAAATGTGCACTAAAAACCTTCAAAATGTGCACTTATATGCGCGTTTATGCTCGATGAAAAATCTAAAATCTATGGGACAGAATCATTTAGAATGCTCCAGAACCATTTAGAAGTGTCTAAAACCATTTAAAAATGTCTACAACCATCTAGAACTGTCTAAAGCCATTTTGAACTGTCTAAAACCATTTTAGAACGCTACAGAGCCACTTAGAACTGCCTAGTAGAACCATTTAGAACCCTCCAGAACCGTTCACAACACTCTTTTAGTTACCCGAATAGAATGTTGGAGTAGAATGTGGAGCTTTATCGCGTATACATCTTCTATTATCTGATAAATTGAGGAATTGATTATCGCTCGAAAATTGCAGTATTTTATCAATTTTTACTTCATTCATTAGAAGCTACTTCTGTTCTTAAAAAACCCCGTGTATTAAATAATTTAAATGGCCAAGTAACAGTTACAAAGTAACGTTACTGTACCTCTATCGTCCCACCACTCGTCGATCTTAAGTCAAGTTTCACTGTTCGAATGGACGATCACACACTTGTTTTTACTCGTCGAGCTCGACGCGAATCAGTACCGTGTTTACCAACAACGCATCGGTTACGATAATTTTCTCGTTGTTTACGCGGTTTTCCGCACGTTTCTTTTTGTTTACCGGGGCGGTTTAGCCAGTTTAATCGCGTCGATAACGCGAACCATGCGTCGGATCGATAAGGAGTTTATCGAGCGATCGAGCAGTGGTTGAACGTAGATAGTGAAAATGAGCACGTTGCCGAAAATCCGCGTGAAAACGCGCGGTAATAAGTTCATCATAAAGGCCGATACGTTGCCGAAGTCGAAAAATTCGGCCGTTCTCACCCTGACGCGCAAGCAGGACGCGAATCCCTCACATGTTCCTTATCCCTCTGACCCCCAGAATCTCAACCTTCACCGTCGACGGCAAGATGCGAGGATTAATAACAACAGCATCAATGCTGCTGGTGTTACAACATTGAAGTATTCAGGTTAGGGTTTTTTGCGTTTTCGATATTTCGTTTCACTATTTGTTTAAATTATTTATGGGTTAGATACTACATTCAAGGTAAACTCGCCTGCGCTATTATCCGTTTTAGTTGTTAATAAAGAAAGATAATAATAATAATGAGTCAGAGTATGTTTAATTTATAATGTCGTGAAATGTTACTGGTCACCTTTAATGAACGTTAATTGTTATTTAACTTTGTCATTTCGGCGGGTTTTCATCTTTAAATAGGCTAAGCAAGAGTGTCGAAAAAAATAACACTTTAATCTAATCAGATGAGTAACGAGATTATGCGAGAAATTGTATTTACGCACCTCAAAAAAGTACAAACATTTTTAACAGAAGCCGGAAGAAATCAGTTATAAATACCACTTTTGTGTGTACATGAAACTGTACATGGAATACCTGACTTAAACAGTGCAACTGTAATTATTTATTTATTATTTTACTATTCATACAGTCCGTCTGTTTCTCCTTTTTCTCGAGGCTTATCCTGCTTATAACGAGAACAACTGAACTAATGACGATGAGACGACGTAAAATTTTTTCAGATAGGTATAGTTAATGATGCCGAGTTGCAGCGAGATCGATCATAAATTTAACAACAGTAAAAACGTACCGTTGATTTTTGGGTCGATAGATAAGCGTAGATAACAGAAAAAATATAATGTTTTATCATCCGTATCTAGAAAGATTACGCTATCAGAAACATGTTGAATGTAATTACAAGTATCGCAATTACTCCCAAGAAATAATATGATTAATCCCTACACGAGCACGGCGATAGGCAAATGATACAATTAATCATCGAACTATCAAATAATGCATATTTCCGGATGTATAGCTGGATGCAAACGAAAGTTTATTATAGTTCGATATTCGGTCCATCTCGCGATCATTCCTCTTTGTCGAACGTTAATTGGATTTTCCATTGTACCGCGTACGGATAGGAAATAAAAAGGAAATGCATGGATAAACCTCTTTGAATAAACGTTGATGGATGGCTTAACAGGCGCGGCAATTACGTTAAATTGCAATTAAAAAAAAATCGAGAGAACCAATCATGAAAGGAGATGTTCCGTTAGGTACAATTGTATATTCGGTGGTTTCGTGTTTGAAATAATTCGAAATAGTGGTTTTTTTTATAATTATTTTTGGGAATTGGTTTATAACTTGTAATGGGAATTTTATTACCATATTAGCGTTTTAGTTTACTTGTAATTAAGTGGTATTCCTGTACTAAAATATCGGTTTATACTATTTTTAATGACTGTAAATATTTTTGAAAGCAACCGTGAAACGTCTACCACACAAATGTGACCTCGATAAAAAATTAAATTTTCGTGTAAAAATTAAAATTCCGTTTATTCGAAAAATTCTCATACATTAGCCGTTTTGGAAAGTCCAATCGAAACTCGCACGAAACCGTAGGTGCATAATAAAACAACAATTCTCATATTTACGCGATGACTCATTTCGTGATAATAACAATACGTGTATGGTACGTATTAGCATTCAAGAAACGATTCCACAAGGTCAAATGGGGTCCCCCCAGTTTTTTTTAAAGCGAAGAGAAATTTATTAATTGTGCATAGAAATGTTGAGATATTTCGGTGCACGAAATTCCACTTAACCGTAACCGTACAGATAATTAGATAGATAAAAGATGTTGCTTCAATTCTATCGCTCTAAATATGTATAATTTCCAGTATATAAAAATTGTAATTTATTTTATTAGAAATGTTCTACATTGTGTGTTCCCCGTAAGAACCAACACAGAGCAGGCGAGCCAAAATATGTTGTGTTAAACCAACTTAACTTGACAACATTTTTATCGTTTTTCATCCAAACGATTAAGAATTTTGAAAAACACAAAGAATAAAAAAAAGTTTCAAAATTAAATTACCTATGAAATGAACTAATATTTTTTTAAATTATCCACCAGGTAAAAAAACTGTAACATTTAAAGGAAGCTTCAGCCTTAAGAACCTTTTAAAATACTTCAATTGTTCGCTCCTAACTATCGATTAATGCTCTTAATACACTCGTAATGTATACCAAATTTAGTTGCTTCAAGTTAGAGTATTATCGAGATATTTTTTTTTAAATTTGAAGGCTTATTACTTCTCAGGAAGTTGGTTTAAAAACATATACCGATTGCTTCAATTCAGACCGCAACATGGTCGTTTCTATGAATTGAACAAAGAAAGATTAATAAAAAAAAACAGTTGTCAGAGTTAAAAGTTGCAATGACACAAATGTCACTCTCTTTTTCCTTTATAAATGTCTAATGGAAGTTGTCTCTATCGCACCTATAGCCTGCATAATCTATGTTGCGATCTGGAATGAAGCACCGTATAGGTACTTCTGCTCTGTGTCGCTTCTCACGCGGTACACCCCGTACATTTGCGATGATTAATTCGTTGCGATCTTCCAGCGGGCGATTCGGACGCGGCGGTGGAGCTGCGCGAAGAGAAATACGAAATCCACATAGAGCGCTCGAAGACGGGACTGGGCCTATCGATAGCCGGCGGTCGCGGTTCGACGCCCTTCAAGGGCGACGACGAGGGCATCTTCATATCGCGCGTCACCGAAGGCGGGCCGGCCGACAGCGCCGGCCTGCGCGTCGGCGACAAAGTCATCACCGTCAACGGCGTGCGCGTCGAAGACGTCAGCCACTACGACGCCGTCGAGGTGCTCAAAGCCTCCGGGCCGGTGCTCGTGTTGCAAATAACGCGAGAAGTCACACGGCTGAAGAAATCGCTCGAACGTAGCCCGGCGCCCTCGTTAAACACGAAAAGCGACGTCGTCGCGACGCTAGACGTCGACGACGGCGACGTCAGGCTGAGGAAGATCAACGTGCACACGACGCTGATCAGAGACTCGCGCGGTTTGGGATTCAGCATAGCCGGCGGCAAGGGCTCGCAACCGTTCAAGGCCGATTCGGACGCCGTGTTCGTGTCGCGCATCACCGACGGCGGCGTCGCCGACAAGGACGGCAAGCTGCTCGTCGGCGATAAGGTCGTTTCGATCAACGGCGTCGATTTGACGGGCGCGCCGCACGATTTGGCCGTCGGCATGCTCACCGGCGTCGAGCGATTCGTTCGGCTCGTCGTCGAACGCGAGGTGCCGGTGGAGAGTAACGGCGACGCGACGCCCAGTCCCGGCGCCCAACGGAGCCCGAGGTTGTTCGGTTTGCCGAAACCGTACGGCGGATTGTACGCCGCCAACAGCTACATGGCCAACCGGCCCGGTTACGGAGGGTACCGCCGGAGCGCCGATCTCGACAAGAAGGTACGGTATATCGAAATTATTTGCTTTAATTTGGTCTCTATATGCTAGAGTATGGTACTTTCAAGGGTAAGGTACGGTACTCTCTAGGATAGACTAGGGTACTCACCAGGGTAGAGTAGGGTAGGGCAGTAGAAGCGCTGATCTCGACTAGAAGATAAGGTATATTATCAATTTATTTGCTTTAATTTGCTATCTCTAGTTTAGGAAAGGATGCGGTAGGTTACTTTCAAGGGTAAGGTAGGGAACTCTCAAGGGTAGGGTAGGGTACTTTCCAGAGTAGATTAGGGTAGAGCAGAATAGGCGCTGATACCGATAAGAAGATACGGTATATGGAATTTATTTGCTATAATTTGAACTCTGTTGATTAGGGTCGGGTACTTTCAAGGGCAAGGTAGGGTAATCTCAAGGGTGGTACTTCCAAGGGTAGAGTAGTGTAGGACAGAAGAAGCGCTGATCACGACAAAAAGATACGGTATATCGAATTTATTTGCTTTAATTTGCTCTCTCTAATGTAGGGAAGGATACGGTAGGTTACTTTCTAGGTCAAGGTAGGGTACTCTCAAGGGTAGAGTAGAGTAGGGCAGAAGAAGCGCTGATCATGACAAAAAGATACGGTATATCGAATTTATTTGCTTTAATTTGCTGTCGAATGTAGAGAATGATAGGGTAGGTTACTTTCTAGGTCAAGGTAGGGTACTTTCTATTGTAGGATAGGGCAAAAGAAGCGATGATTTCGATCAGAACGTAGGTTATATCGAATTTATTAGCTTTAATTTGCTCTCTTTAGGTTAGGGTACTTTCTAGGACAAAGGGGTAGGGTATTCTCCAGGGTATTTGAATCCTTCGAGTTGGTGTTTATTTGGAGTAAGTAACACGGTGATTTAATTGCGTTCCAGATACCGGAAGCGGCCGAATCGAACGGTTTAGCAACAGCGAAAGAGGCCCCGACGCCGGCGCCGCGTCGCGTCATCAATTCGACGTCGAGCGATACGTCGCAATCGAAGGCGGAGACGGCGGACGAGGAGCGCGACAAGGCGGAGACGAAGTCGTCGCAATCGTCGCTCGACGACGACGAGGAGGACGTCCAGCAGGTATTTTCGAGGCCGATCACCAGCGAAGAGTTCCAAGCGATGATCCCGCCCCATTTCCTAAAAAAACCCGATTCCCAAAACCAACAGTCCTGCGCGCCGCCGTCGTCGACGACGGCCGGTCCGTCTAGCGGTGATAACGCGTCGAATTCGGTGACGACGGTGACTATAAGGCGGCCCGACGCGTCGCCCGTCGAGCTGCCGCCGCCGCCGACCGGGCCCGGCAGGGTGACGGAGACCATCACGAAGAGCACCTTCACGGAGACGGTGGTCACTAGGATTACGGACAATAAATTGGTAGAACCGTTGATTATCGAGGTAGGCGGCTGAGAGCAATCGAAATCGAGGCCGGCTAATTATTTTTTTTTTATTTATTTATTTATTTATTTTATTTTTTTTTTGAAGCTTGTGTATTATTTGGTGCCATCGAAAGATCGAGTTGGTTGATTTGAGAGTATTGTAGATTTTTAGAGGGTGAAGGGTTTTATTTTTGGTTCGTTAACTAGGAGGAGCGATTGAAATCGAAAGTAATCGCCATTTTTAGATACAATTCTTTCGTACCAAACGGCTGTCATTTTTTGACATTCACGTCATTACTGAACGAAAGCTCTTATAATAAAATTGTGCTAACAATTACTGCCTCCGGGTGTATTAAACGATAAAAACTCGTGTAAATTGGGCGCCAAAATTTTAATCTTATAGGTAAAATGGGCGCAGAGTCCCCAGAAAGTAATAACAAATCATTATGTTCATTGAGAATTTTTTCTACAGCAAACTATTTTTATGCACATGTTCTTATCAATATAATTATATAAATCAGAATTCTGTCCTCTAGAAGTACTCTACTCTCTGCTACTCTCTTCTACTTTCTTCTATTCTCTGCTATTCTCTTCTACACTCTTCTATTATCTACTACTCTCTTCCACTCTTTTCTATTCTCTGCTTCTTTCATCTAGCCTCGGCTACTCTCTTCTACTTTCTTTTACGATCTTTTCTGTTCTCTTCTACTCTCTTCAGCTCTCGTCTGCTTTGCATACAAATGAACTCAAATAATCCCCTTTTCAACCTGTAATATTCCCGCGCCCAATTCACCTATAGGAATGTCTTTTAAATCCTTTTAATCTCTCGCAGGAAATTTTGCGCCCAATTTACCACCGCCATTTACCTTTATAATCAAAGCACATCAACATTATGCTCTAACATTGAAACAACTTATCAGTGGATAAAGTATCAACTCTGTCAATCGAACGGGGCTAACTTCAAGTCGCTCCTGCTGGTTTTTTGAATAAGATTTATAGGAATTTATATCGCGGTTGAGATTGATAGAGGGCAAAGAAATCGTTTCGGGCGCGTTGTTTAAGAGGTGAAATGATTCCGTCGCGACCTTTTCCGTGGGATAGGTCAATAACATTCACGATTCAATTAAAAAGCCCCGAGTATATTAAATACATAATAATCCCACTAGGATGTTTCAATTGCGCTCCGTCTTTTATTAATTCCACTTAATTTCTCTAATAAAACGACGCGTATCTCGGTGTTTTATAGTTATTATCATTAACCGTTGAGGTTGTTTTATTCGATGGAAACTTCTCATTATTGGATTACATGCAATTTCCGTTTCGCGGATTAATTTGATGTTAAATCGACGGATAAGGGTCACGGGTAAATCCCCGTATTCGGAAGTTTTTTTATAACCGACGATTATATATTTTCAAATTTTGAACATATTTGAATCTTAAAACAGATGAAAATGAGGTTAGTTTTTTATTTCTAAATGATTATAGAGCGTTCTAGATTGTTTTAGACAGTTCGAAATGATTCTGGAGCGTTCTAAATTGCTCCAGACAGTCCTAAATGAGCTTGGAGAGTTCTAAAAGGTTCTGGAGCATTCTAATAAATTGTTCTAGACAGTCTAAATGAGTCTGGGGAGTTCTAAATGATAATAGAGCGTTCTAGATTTTGTTTTAGACAATTTGAAACGATTCTGGATCGTTCTAAATGGTTCTTGAGCATTCTAAATTGTTCTAGACAGTTTTAAATGATTCTGTAGCGCTCTAAATGGCAGAAGAATGACAAAAACTCACCTCACTTTTATCTTGTTTAACCTTCAAATAAGCAACGTTGCCATGTTTAAAATTCGGAAATATATAATCGTTGGCTACAAAACCATTTGGTTATATAAAAAATTCTGAATACGGTGGAGCCTTTAATTTTTATAACAGAAAGAAGCATACAGGGTGATGCATCCAAACATTACCCTGTGCTCATTAAAATAATTTGATAGCCTGTATGCCAACGATTAAATATATCTAATTGGTAACACAATAATCAATTTAAAAAATCCTTGACTATTCGTAAGTCAAATACATACACGAATTTTTGTACATACATATTTATCTCCTTACTATATTTGAACAGAATCGCATTATTAAACCTCCACGTATACGTGTTTCGGTTTGGTTCGAATTTCGCATTGTTACACAGAGAGCATTCGAGCAAAGTGTTCCTTATCTGGTTCGACTTTAAAATTAAAAAAAAAATTATTAAATCGCAATGTTTATGTCGTCGTCACATGACTTGGCCGAATACGTATCTCCGAGAGTTCGGTACGTGCGCGATTCGAGGAAACTCGAAAACGCCGTTTCCCACAATAATTGAAAAACCCGCGGCGGCGAGATGTTCCTGCTGAAGGTGTTCAAAAAGCGCGAGAAACCCGGCGAGATCGAACTGAAATTGTACAAAAAACGGCAGGAGAACTCGAACTTTCGCCGGAGGAGTTCCAAAAGGCGCAGGATATCGCTGCAGTTCGTGAGTACCGTGCGATTTGCGCGTTGTTTACGCGATCATTGTTTCATTATTTTTCTATTTGGGTTTTTACGGGCATTTTTTCGTTGATCAGGAAGCGTTTTGAGAAACGTGTGAACAATACGGAAATAGTAATTCCGATCGAACGTAAAGTAGCAAAACAAATATTTTACTGGAATTGTAAATAATGTAAATTGTTACGATTTGATTTTTGATAAATGCAGCTTTCACGCAGGATTCGCACGCCTACTTCGATGATACACACGTATGTCATTTCGAACGCACTCGAACTGTCTTCTCCTACGAGGGTACATCAAATAGTAATTTGCGTAGTTTATAATTTCGTACAAATTAGTCTCGCATCATGTGTTTTCAGCGTCTGGAACTACTTGTGTTTTATAATAACTATTATATTATCTCTTTTGACTGTAACATTACTGTTAACAAGCGATTTATTATGTTCCAACCTTGAGAACACATTATATGCATCGCTCGTACATTCCAAATTTGTTTTCCGGTCGATTTTAGATTTCTAACATAATCGTTTCCTTACTAATTCCTTACTATTTGATGTCGCCTCGTATTTCCGTAGGTAGTTTTAGCAAATAATTTTTTATACCGCTTTTTTAGCACAGTAAATTGGACTAATCATTTACGTGCGCTAATCTAGTGACCCAGCAGCATTTCAGGTAACAAAGAAAAAAAAATATGTACCAATAAAATCGACACACGTAATCTATCCCGATTTGTTCTACCCGACTTTCCTAATCTTCGCTTCACTCTGTTTATTTTTATTCTCATACCACACACACTCATCAGCTGAGAAACTCTTTCGTATCTTTAGTTTAGTTTCTAGGTAACATAGAGTATCTTTTTTTAGGTGGAATTAAGTGCACACTACTATTTTTTTAAGCATCGTCTTACGAGGGGTGCTAAAAAAATAGTTCTAACAGTGTAACAGTTAACTTATCAGGTCTTATTAGGGAACGAAACACGATTAATTCGGTATTTTCGTTGCGTTTCAGGACGTCACATTGAGCAAATTGGCAGGCTCCTTAGGTTTCAGTATTATCGGCGGAACGGACCATTCCAGCATCCCGTTCGGGTCCAAAGAGCCGGGCATTTTCATTTCGCACGTAAGTGTATTCTAGGCCGGGTAATCGGCGGGTACTAACGGGGGCGTTTTTCAGCTGGTGCCCGGCGGCACGGCGGCGAAAAGCGGCAAGCTGCGGGTGGGCGACAGGATACTGAAAGTGAACGGTACCGACGTGACGCAGGCCACGCACCAGGAGGCCGTCATGGAGCTGCTGAGGCCCGGCGATTACATAACGCTGGCGATCCGGCACGATCCCCTGCCCGAAGGATTTCAGGTAAAAAAGAGGAATGGTGGATACAGTAACACCGACTGATTGTTATTGTTGTTTAGTAAATGCGATAGTCGATTAAATTGATATTTGTAAGCAATAAAATGTGAAGTTAATACGATTGTTATTGTTGATTGAAAATGGGAAATATTAGAGGTGATTAAAGGTGATGGTTAATTGGAATCGAATTAGTAATTTAATGGAGGTAATTGAAATATAATTAGTAGCAAGATAAAACTGGATACATACGATTTTCTGCGTGATTTAACAACACCTTTAAAATTTGCGTATTTGCAAATAATTTTTTTCACTCGACTCTAATATCGTATTCACTCACAATGGAAAGGCTTGCACTCTCTTAATTCTTTATCGCGATAAAAATTCGCGTCGTAAATTAACACGGTAAATTCAGAAATTTGATTTATAACCTTAGCTAATAATAATATATTTGATTTTTTTCAACGCGTGATTAACACGGAACGTCGTTATTAAATTTAACTTACTTTTTCAAGCAACTCATGGTTACTTATGTCGATACTATGGTAAGTCGCTTGAAAGTGTGTTTTTAGTGTGTTATTTTTGTTTTTGTACAATTAAATCTGATGGTTAGCATATAGAAATTTTATTTCTGTTGTTTGAAAGAGATTTCTTCCACATATACGAGGGTAGGGTGATCAGTTATCGGTCTGAATCGTTTAGAACTATCCAAAATCATTCAGAATCATGTAGAACTGTCTAAAACCATTTGTGACGCTTCAGAACCATTTAAAAGGCTCCAGAATCATATATTGCCATTTAGAACTCTATAGAACAATCTAGAACGCTTCAAACCCGTTTAGAACTGTTTAAAACGCTTCAGAAGAACTGTCCAGAGTCATATAGAATGCATCAGAACCATTTAGAATGCCCCAGAATCATTTACAACTTTATAGAACAATTTAGAATACTTCAGAACCAATTAGAACGCTTCAGAATCATTTGAGAACTGTCAACCATTTAGAACGCTTAAAAATCATGTGTCTAAAATCATTTAGAACGCTTCAGAACCATTTAAAATGCTCCAGAATCATTTAGAACTATCTAGAACTATTTAGAACCCTTCAAATCCATTTAAAACGCTTCAGGGCCGTTTAGAACGCTTCAGATCCGTTTAGAACGCTCCAGAATCATTTAGAACTGTCTATAACTAAAGATTTTGACTTCATAAGGAGAATAACTTAATTTTTCAAATAAAAGTCACTGTCTTTCATTGTCACGCCGAGAATTTTTCACCCTACCGTTGCAGAGAGTAGATTTGTTTGAATATGTAACACTTACAAGTAGGATTTTTTTCAACTTCTTAACACCATTACATTTTACTTCCTTATTCCCCATCGTGCGGCGCATTTTCAATTAGTCTTTCGACCGCAACCTCTCTCGACTTTCCCAGTACGCTTTACGACCGTCTTCTACCTCGATTCATCTTCTCTCCGCAAACCGATTCGATTAGAAAATTATTTAAAAAAAAATCCATCGTCCCGCGACTAATCGCACTTCGCCGGCTCTCTACAAAAATCTCCCGTCGTTCCGCAGGAATTGCTGATCGAGAAGGCGGACAACGAGAAGCTCGGCATGCACATCAAGGGCGGCCTGCAGGGCCAGCGCGGCAACCCGTTCGACGCCTCCGACGAGGGGGTGTTCGTCTCGAAGATCAACTCGTCGGGCGCCGCGCGTCGCGACGGCCGCCTCAAGGCCGGCATGCGATTGCTCGAGGTCAACGGGAAATCTCTGCTCGGTACGTAAATTATACCGGGTGTTAGTTATTTCAGTGCAGATACTTCAGGGGGTGGATGTTTGGGTGATTTTAAGAAGAAAAGTTTATATGAATATATGTCCTAGACCTCTTAGTTTTCGAGCTAAAGGGTGTTATAGTTTTGGAAAAAAATAACTTTTCTATCGTAACTTAAATACTTACTCCAGATATTTGTATGAACTGTAACACCCTGTAACTCGAAAACTAAGAGGTTTAGGACAAACTTTTCTGCTTGTAATCATCCAAATATTAACACGCTGTATCGAAATGTCGATAAAGCTCGATGCTTATTTGGGTATTGTGCTCGACAGGCGCCACTCACCAGGAAGCCGTGAACGCGCTGAGATCCTGCGGCAACGCCATCCACCTCATCGTCTGCAAGGGTTACGATAAAAACGACGTCGATCGAGCGGTGCAAGACGGCCGATTGAATAGAATGAGCTCGGTGAGCAGCCGGTCGCAGAGCGTCAGTTCTTTGGACGTTCCCGAAGAGGATAATCGACAGGTAAATGAAATGGAAACGAGGTAACACGCGCATTGTGCCGTGAACTGTCCGGGGTTTCTCAGTCTGCTTTTGTAGTTTGAGGATTTATCCATTAATTATTCGTTGTTTGTAGGAAAGGAGAGCGAAAACGGAGTCGCTGCGGTCCGATAAAGACGAGGAAATAGTAGATAGACGTTTGAGACCTTTGAGTCAAGAGGATTATTCTCTTGTTGAAGCGAAACCTCCGTCACCGGCCGATAAGGTACACTTGGGTTACAAAATAGCATCAAACAGGCTCGAATTACTGGCTGCATGACCTCATGACCATCATTTAGAACTGCCTAGAATCATTTAGAACGCTTCAGAAGCATTTAAAATTGTCTAGAACCATTTAGAACGCTTCATAGTCATTGAGAACACTTCAGAAACATTTAGAACTGTCTAGAGACATTTAGAATGCTCCCGAACCATTTAGGAAGCTTCAGAACCATTTAGAACGCTCCATAAGCATTTAAAACGCTCCAAAATCATTCAGAACTATCTAAAACCATTTAGAACGCTCCAGAAGCATTTAACATTGTCTAGAACGATTTAAAATGCTTTAGAACCATTTAGAACGCTACAGAACTGTCTAGAACTAAAGATTTCAACTTTAATTGGATGAATAATGTAATTTTTCAAGTGAATATAAGAGGGTTTTTACACGGTGCAATATATTGCAGCGATATAATGCTGCAATATTGCATTGAAGTTCAAATACAACCGTTCGAATGCCTAGTTTTCACACGTATGCAATGCAATAATTTTTATTTGGAGCGTTTTCATACGGTGCAATATATTGCATTGCAGTTTTTATACAAACTTTAATAAAAATTGCAGTACCTAGTATGAAAACTAGGCATTTAAACGTTTGTATTTTAACTGCAATGCAACATGGACCATTATAAATAGCGATGTTTTTTTATCATGTAGGTCTTGGATGTGGTGAGAGCGGTAGAAACATTAGCCCAAGGTCCTACTGAGAACTCCGTACCGCCGAAATCTCCGACGTCCGAGCTCAAAACGACCACGATAGTGATGAGCAAGCATACTTTAGCGCCCACGCCGACTACGGTAAGTTTTTCTTCGTAATTTCCCAACTCGTGTGCGTGCGTTCTTTTCGTGCTTTTGTGTGGTTTTGTTTTTATTTTAATTTTACCGTACCGTAGATGGAATATGTAGGATTTTGAGTAGTAATTGCATGTAAGTACATAAAGCGGTGGTTTCGCGGGTTTATTTTAGAAGCGGCAACGGCGCTCGAATATTGAGCTACACGTTGCCGGTTGTGGAGTAAATCGGCGGGAATCGTCGGGAATCACACGCGTACAATCATATCACACTTATAACATACACAACTAATGGCTTGACTAGTCGAAAATTCGATCAATATAATATATAATTTACTAGGTACAAAAACAACACACAATTTTATTTAAACAACAAAACGAATTCATCGATCATGATCTTGTAATATTGTTAATTTCTTCTATTTTTTTTTGTTTATTATTTTGTTGCCTGTATGGCTGGCATGTTGATGTTCGACAACTTGCGCAACGTAATATAAAATAAATGTATATAGAATTAATTCACTGTTGTAATAATTATGTTGTGTTTAACAAAGTTCTTTTTAAGCATGATTTGTGTTAAAAAGATACAAAATAAAATGAGAAAAATGAACGTTTCTTTTTGCAGATTAATCGGCAAAGGAAACCCTAATGTTTCCCGAAAATGAGCGAAATATTACTTTGAAAATAACTAATTTTAATTCGATACGTGCGTGATTTTGTCTGTGTCGTGCATTTATTATATTCTTGTATTTATTCAAATAATAGCCAAAGTTTTAATATTTTATCTAAATAAGCGACAGTGAACGATATACGAGATGTTTATAAATAAAATATATAATTTTATAAAAAAAACTACGGTGCTCATATCTGTAACTTGATATTTTCTAATATGTGCGATTGTAGAAAAAAAATCGATTAGTTTTATCGAATTGTTAAGGGTGAATTGTATAAGTTCAAAATCGGTCAGGAATTGGCAATTCTTTCCATGAAATTGACTAAATTCTACAGTTTATACAGGGTGTTTCTAAATAACACCCTGTATAACTCACCCTAAAAATACCTCTCTGTTTTATCAAATTGAACGGGGTTTAGGTGTTAATAAATCATGTCCTATACAGGGTGTCTACTATAAAAACTGCCAAACTTCACGAGATGATTATACAAGTAATTTTAAACAAAAAAATGCCCCATAACACTTCACAAGTTGATAGTTTCTCTTTTATTTAATATTTTTTTGTCTTTTCGAAGTTTTGTATGTCATTTTTTGTTCAAAATTTCTTGTATAATCGCCTCCTGAAGTTTTACGGTTCTTATAGTAGACATCCTGTAAAGTGAATTTTTGCTAAATGGTATATTGTTCAATATCTCGGTTAATTTAACTTATTTGAAGTAAATGATGCAATATGTTAATGATATAAGCGTATCAAGATCAAGAATATTTAACAATAAATTCGGTAAAATTTATATCTTTATAATGATCCATAATTCGTATTTAGTAGATATGAAAACTAACGAATATGTGGATTTATCTTTATTTCTAATATATTTTTTGTTTTCGAAATATGTGTTAGACTTAAGTATTTATCAATACTCCCCCGTATGTTAGTTTTTGACATTCTTATGTAAAAAAATAATCATATCTGTATGATATATAATTTATATAAGGACAAACAGGTTTATTTGTAAATAAAATACGTGCCTTTATTTATCTCAAAAAAAATGAAAAATAATAATAAAATAACTGTATGTATTAAATTAACAATTATACAAAAATTATTATACCTGTAAAACGTGTGTGTTGTATTGATTATATCAAGATAATTTAACTGGTTAAAAAAAGTTATTGTTTTAAACAGCATTGTAATTAATAGAACTTGAGGTGATCGTACTAGCCGGTACTATTAATTAAATATTTCACCCATTAATAAAAATATTTACCACGCACTGGCTAGCGCGATCAAAAAAAAACTATTAAAGCCAGTCCAGCCACTAGTTATAATAATTGCAAAAAAAATATTTGATATTTAACTAATTTGTTATAACTCCAGGTGTTTTAATTGGAAAATATATTTTTGGTATATAAAGGTGTTGGTTTTAGAAATTTCTATACACTTACATTTATTTCTCTGACAAAATCGTATCACTGTGGCGTCTCGTTCGCTGGCAAATCGCTTCGAATTGGTGATGGTTCAATCGACTATATTTTTTCCGATTTCTCACAAAAATGTTATGCGATTCTCTAACAGGACGAACTATTGCATGCGTCGTCTACCCTACCGAAATCTGCCAAACCTAACACGGCTGCGGATACAGGAAGCTTACAAACGAACCACGTTACGAAACCGCCTACTAACATCGACAATGACACACTTTACAACGAATTCGTACCGCCCCCGTTGACTTACTCCCAGTACCCCGATACAGAATCGGACCTACCCACTTACAGACACAACGGACACGTTCAAATCAACTTCTACAACAACGCACCGCCGGCGCAATTCGATTACAACAGCAACTACACCAGCAACACGCCTCTCTTGAGCGATTCCGATATAATCAAAGTACCGCCCCCGCCTCCGCTCGACCTGAGCGATATTCCACCCACCCCCATTCTGGATTACCCATCGTCACCCACTCGTTTAACTCGCTTCGATTCGCCGCCTTTACCGGCGTCTCCAGCACCTCACTCGCCTATTTTGGTATCACCCGCTTCGATTTCATCCGAGTCCCCGCCGCCTCCGCTTCCCGAAACGCCACCGCCGCCTCTACCCAGCCACCCGCCGCCTCCGCTCGACGACGAGGTGCTGGTCGAGCAAAGGCTGCTGGAATCCTCGGTGCAGGTCTCCACTGTGACATCCTTGGATAGGAACCTGCGTGGAACTGTAGAGGCTAGCGCGGAGGAGGTGGCGCCGCCGATCGGCGCTTTGAGGAAGCTCGTCACGAGCCTTACAGATGACGTTGCATCTGCTGCAATCGCGGGGGAGGTATCGGTAACGGCTTCCACCGAAAAGAGTAAGGCGAACGGTTCCCTGAAGCCTAAGAAGGTTTTGATAACCAGCCTGACGGATATCGATACGCTGGTGCTCGATAAGCAGGATAAATACGCCGAAATTCGGCCTTATAGACCGCCTAGTACGCCTACGACGCCTACGAGGCGCGTCGTGCGACCGCTGGTGCCGCCTCCGGCGCCGCCGTCCGGCGGTCTCTCGCCGGCCGGGGGCGCTGTGAAGAAGGTGCCGCCTCCGGTGCCGGCGAAGACGAAGCTGGCGCGTAGCCACGACGATTTGTTACGACTTGACGACGATAACGGTAAAAAAGTTCGTTTTAACGTGACTAGTAGACCTGTATCTTTGGTATGTAGTGAGAGAACTGATGCGGCATTTCCTGGTGCTCTGGCGAAGGTAATTTTTGTACACCGTGTAGATATTTTTCTAGTACGTAGGATTACTAATAGTAGCTAAGCGACATTTCCTGTACAACGCGGAAATGGCGCCGTTTTTTCAATTTTTTTAACGGTGTTTTCGTTTTCTATTATTTCATTTTTTCGCGTTGTTTTTTTTTTTAATCGAGTTTCGTTTACGTTTGGTCTTTGGTTTTACCGCTTGGAATTTTTAAAGCCTCCGCAGTCGCCACGAAACGATCCCGCGCCCAAACAGTCGGTGAGCGATAGAAAGAAGTTTTTCGAAACCGCCATGGAGGAGAGCCAGAAACCGTCCAAACCAGGTAAGTCGCTTTAATTCGATCACTTTTTAGTCGAGTCGCGACACTACTGGCTTGACGCTTCACAAGTAACAGACCGTTTGTAGTAGAAAAGGAGAAGCAACTCCCGCTGTACTTATTGTTAGTAGAGACTGATAATTGTGGGTTTTGTTCGTTTAGAAAAAGTGTTCAGCTACTTGAGCGCCGACGAATTGGAGAAACTCAAAGCGGAAGAGGAGAAGAAAATCGCCACATTGTCCGATGTGAATTCGTTGGAGCATTCCGACGGCGAATCGATCGAATCGCAACGTTCTAGGTAGATACAATCGGCGATTTCTCGCTGCGCGAGCTCGCTCTAACATCGAGGAATATTTTCACAGGCCGTCATCAGCCATTGGTATCGTGCGCACGGCGAAAGCGGAGCGCAGGCTGCGCGAGCGCATGCGCGAAGAGGGGCTGCTGACCGACGAGGACGAGGCCCCGCTGTCGCCGGCGGAGGAGCGCGCGTTGCGCGCCGAGAAACGGGCCGCCTGGCGGGCGGCGAGATTGAAATCGCTCGAGCAGGACGCCATGCAGGCGCAGATGGTGATCAAGAGCATGGCCGACGTGATGGACGTCGGCGCGCTGAGCGTCGTGGCGCCATCGCCGACGCCTTCCGTGCCGTCGCCCGAGCCGAAAGGCAACGGCTTGTCGCACAACGATGAGGTATTTGGTTTGTTGGTTTCGTTTATTGAGTGAGGTTATGTTGTTTTTTATATATTCGGAGCTTTGGTGGAAGGTTTGTGAGTAATGATAGATGTCGAGGAGGGTTGTAGATGATTCTGAATTCTATAAAAAAGCTCCTTGTATTTAAAATAACGTTACTTCATTCTTCTATTTATTTTATTCATTTCATACAATCGATAAAGTTACTACAATGTGTAATACGCATACTGTTGGTGCAAAACAAATATCAGTAGGCAGTGTTGCCGAACTTTTATAGAGTTTACAATATCTAAGAATTTTCTAAAATTGTCAAATGGCAAAATGACAAGAACAAATTGAAAATTAGGGATAATTGTTTCATGTTTCTAAACGGTGAACGTATTCAAGAGCTCATTATAATTAATCATTAAATTCCTTTATCATCTGAAATATATTTAACAGTGCGAGTCACAAAAGTTGTGGACAATTGACCCTTAAAAGAGTACATAGTGAAATTTTTGAGAAAACTTCTGAATCTGAATTATTTAGAGTTCAAATTGTGTCATTTCTAACATGCAGAAAAGATAACTACTCAAAAAAATTCTTATTTTTTGATTGTTCGGCTGAATAGTCTTTATAGTAGTTGAGGCTAGTAAAATAGTAAAAAAGAAGAAGAAATTGAAAATTAAAAGTACCGATCGGATGAAAACGGTAACTATGCAACTTGACAGTCAGTGCCTGCCAACCTACTATAAGAAAATAACAATAATTTTATATACAAACGTTGAATTTTGACCATAGATATATTTTTTGGATGATTTAATTCTGCTTTTTCACATTTTCTATCATCCCTTGTTAATATTAAATCAAATTCAGCAGTTATTATAAGCCTAATCTATTTTGTGTATTTATTTTTAAAAGTTGGTCACAATGCTTGGCAAATATCACCACAGTAGTGACGTACATTGATATTTGTTTAGCACCAACTGTATAAAGTATTCAGCGACTTTATTTTTACAATAATCATCCATTGGGCATGCGTTTTACCGGAATACGTCAACAAATTACCAGCATGTGCATTTTACCTCGTACAATCCTCGGCTTCTTTTACCATATTTCGAGCAAATCCCAATTATTGCTCGCCTTTAACATTTAACACCACCTTAATCGAATAATACCCATTAATTTACAATAATTATACGTTACTAACCCCCTGGGGTATCCTGTAAACTTTCTCGTATCGATTAACATCGACTACTAATCGTACCGCCCTCTAACTTTTGGCCTTTTTCTGCGCCACGCACGCGCAGTGGCGTCCGTCGAGCGAGGATTTTCCCAAATTGGCCGTCAGGACGACGCCGGGCAGCACGACGGTGCGCGAAAGCGAGAAGGTGTTAGGCGAAACGGTGACGAGGCGCACCGAAGAGTACGTGGACGAGAAGGGCGAGCGGCGCGTGCGCACCGTGGAGTACGTAGAGAAGCTGATCGAAAGAGAGGTATAAAGAGGGCTTTGCCAAAAATAAAAAACCGCAAATCTAATACACACGAATCAAGCATGACTACTTCCTCTATTGTGCACCCGTCTGGTTAGTTTATTTTTTTATTTATTTATTTATTTATTATTAATCATTTTATCGACTAACACACGTTTTGTTCGTTTGGTGTTTTTCATTGCAATTATGTAGTATTACTATAGTCTTTAGCTGGGTTAGTTGTGACGTTATTTTATCATGAAGCTCTGTAAAATTTTGATAGTTTATTCATTCATTCATTTATTCATTCATTCATTGAAGAACGCAATGGAGAAGAGTACGACTTTTTTTATTTTTTTATAAAACTACGCATTCTTATGAAGTCATTGGTGAAATTTTTAATTTTCTCCGTTTCCTATTAAGGCCACAATTTTTACAACGTTGTGAACCATCTTCTTATCTCTGAAAAAAAGGCGTTTGTATAATTGTTAAATAATAAAATATGCCTATATTTATAAATTTCTGTAAATATCTTAATAGTTTGAGCAACTGAAAACTACTTTGAGTTCTAATGACTTAAGGTAGACTGGGGCAAATGTAAAAATGGGGAAAATGTAATATTTTTACCTATTATGTTAATGTTTTTATTATTTTTAGAGTTCCTTTGTGCATTAGACAGGGTTTGTTTCTTATTTTTTCTTTATTATTTTGTAGCTCTGTTATTTTTTGAAATAAATAAGTAAACAGCATATCAAATTTTAGAGGAACCAAATATTTTTTTACAATTGCCCCATATGTTTTTTTATATAATTGTATTGCACTTTAGAACCGTTTGTTGTTTACCCCGTACCATGGGGTAAATGTAACATATTGTCAACATTTTAAAAAATATGCAAAATCGTTTTCTTCCTTTGTCAAAAAAACTTTTTAATACCTCGATTCTTTAGTTTAGGAAGTTTTGAATTTAATGTGGTATCAGCATTTCTAATAAGAGAAAAAATAAACCCACATTTTAGGATTTAATTTGAACTATTCAAATTTTACAAACGATTTACCCCAGTCTACCTTATTTCTGTTTATATAATCCGGTTAAAAACCGCATATTTCACCTCGTACTCCTCTCCATTACAATACAGAGCTTCATTCACACTCGTACCGTCAAAACTCGCAGGAAACGGTTGAGGTTTTCCTCTGTTAGTTAACCACAATTCGAAGGGCATTATCACCTCACGCCATTTCTCAGCTTTTGTACATACATATTGTGAACGGGCGTTTAAACGAATCGTTTTTGTAAATGGACCGCCAGGTGGAACAAATCCAGGAAAAGATCATATCGTTGGAGCTGACGAGGAAGCCCGAAGACCTGAAGCTGGACGTTTCGGCGAAGAGAGACGATGAAGAGGACGGATCGGAATCGGTTTCCGAACCGCCTACGCCCACCACCGAGCAGGCGAAGGGTCTGGATGGCGCCGATGGCGGCGCGAACAAGCGAAGAAGAAGGAAGCGGTCGAAGAAAGGGAAGCATTAGCGTTTTCGGGGCCTTATCTCGTATTGTAAATATTTTTTTAACCGTCTGTAAAGCAAGTTTGGCATCTTATTTAATCGACTTGCTTGGTATTTGATTGTGTAGCGGTGGCAAAAGATTTCAATCATCTAGCATCTTTTGCCTCTGCTGTGAATCGTTTCATAAATTTGTTTCACCGGGGTGTAGGGGTAGCTTTTAATAATCGTATTAATTTAATAAAAAAAATGTATGTTTTTTTAAATTATTTTATTGTACAAAATATTTATAAATCTTAAATATTTTTATTACGATAAATTTGTATAAGTGTAAAGATTTTTCCAAAGACTTTTGCTATTATATCCCGTTTGCGGTTTTGTCGCTATTTCTCGAGCGCGACACTTGAAAATTAGAGGGTAAGTGTAATTTTTCGTCGTATCTTAAATCGTAAATAAATTTAAAAAGACTAATAATTTTTAGGATGCAGTTATCGTATTGTAATGTATTATATTATTTAAGATACGGCGACGTTTTTTTTTTTAATCAAACGTATTTTTAGGTAATTCTAAAGGGCTTTGGAAAAATGTGTTTTTATAATAAACGACTACTTATTATGTATATTAGGTACGTAAGTTTGTTTTATTTCTTCGGCGCCAAAATACCTTCTAGTTGTAACTAAAATTAAAGGAAATTGGATGTTTAAAAGTGCTCAGTAATTGTGTGATGTTTGATTTTTTTACCTTCAGCTGTTGGTTGGTTTTCTTCAAAAATGCTATTTCTTCCGTGTGTTTCCTTTCTTCAGCCATGCGGGTCTCGGCTGCCCGCCTTTCCGCCTGTTCCGCTTTCTGCTTCAATTCCATTATTTGCTGTTCCAGGTCCTGTTTCTCCACTTTGAGATTCTCTACTTCGTTGAACAGATCCGTCTTACCTTGCTCCGCTTGCAGCGCTTTCCTCATACCTTAACCAAACAAAAACTCTTATTTTTTTTATCAAACAAAGCAACAAGATATAGAGAGATTGCAGTATAAATAACGGTAAGTAAATCCTGATTATTTTAATATATTTTACGTCCTTACCAAAGGCGACACTGCTGCAGTACAGAGCCTGGTAGGCCTCTATGGTCATGCGCATCTCATCCCTTACCCTCAGCAATAACAGCCCCCTTTCTGCGCAATTTATGGTTACTTGTCTGATGATTTCGTCGAAGCATTGCGTGTACAATTCCCTTCTGACGGCGCAAATGCCGGTTTCTCTGGCCTTAAAAACGCGTTAGTTTAGAACGTTCGGGAATCCCGCGTGCGTTTTCAACCTGTCTCTGTTGCAGCCTCATGTCTAATTGCTCCTGCAAATTGACCACGTCCAATCTGGTCGCAGGATTGGTGGAGACGCATTGCCGCCACATTTGCCCGTCCTCCTCCCATTCCTTCGGCGGCAGGATGGTGTTCAGGATTTCCTCGGTTTCGCGTTTAACGTCGGCCGTCAGCGCGACTTTTTTGCCTTCGTCCTTTAATTTAAACGCGCCTGGATTATTCTATAGCATTGTTTTATTGGATTTACTTACGCCGGACGGTCCCGCTTTGGTTTCTCGCTTCGATACGAGCGTAGGATTGTCGTATTTGACGAGCGTGTTCGGCGAGGGAATTATTCGTTCGGTCGTCATTTTCGTAAAAAAGTAGAATTTTCTTCGGTGGCTCGCTGAAATTGGTGAAAAGTTTGACTGTTGCCTAGGTGATTTACGCATCCATGACAGCTACTTTTTTATAGCCTAGTAAAAGGCCACTCTAGTTGCTTTGTACCTTTATAGTAAAAGGCGTAGAAGTGAGATTCGGCAACATCGCAAATTCGTTAGTAGCTGTCATAAATGTCATGGAAGGCATTGTAACGTCATTAGCGATGTGCAAAGGCAAACTTTTTAAATGTTTTATTAGAAGTTTAGTAATAAATTAGGTGGTTTTGTGTGGTGAAATGCACGAACAAACTTGCTTGCAATGTAACAAAGTGATATCGGGACCGTCTAATAGGTTAATTAAAGATTCCTGCGGCCATGAGAAGTGCAGAATATGTCTTCTCGAAGACGAAAACGACTGTAAACAATGCCAAAATAAACGAACTTTAGAAGAAACGATCGTATCGAATAATAGTGATAGAAACGGCGATTTGAATTCTGATATTATATCCAGCAACCACACTGGTGTTATTCAAATTAACGGAAACGTACCAGTACCAAGTACATCAAACCTTAACGGCGATATCAAGCACAATAATACAATTAAACCTATCGAGAGTACTCCCATCAGAAGCGTAGAAAATTTCGCTAACGACGTCGATAAACCTCAAAGCGTGAGGAGACCGTACAGTTCCATTACCATTCCCAAACATGTAACGAAAGTATCCGACCCGCCTTCCTACCATTGCACCATTTGCAACAAAACCTTCATTACTAAAACCCACGTTAAATACCACCTATACTGCGCGGGGGGTAAGTAACAATACTATTTAAATTCCACGATAATAAACACCTCATTTCAGGCTCCAAGCCGTTCAAATGCGACGTTTGCGGCAAGGGATTCATCCTGAGATCTCAACTGGACGTCCATTCGTACAAACACAAATCGGTCAAACCGTACGCGTGCCAGATTTGCAGGAAATCGTTCAACGAGCGCAGCAAACTGACCCGACACTCGGCCGTACACACCTCCGTCAAGAGCCACGTTTGCTCGATTTGCGGCAACGCTTATCGCAGCAAGGAAAGCCTCCGCATACACAGCATCATACACAGGAGCGAGAAGCCGTACGGCTGTAAATTGTGCGACGCCAAGTTCAGCAATCAGAGCAATTTGAATAAGCACGGAACCGTGCACAAGAGTAAGTTCAATTGGGGTTACCTTTATGGTATTGTACAAGGTGTACTGTCACTCGATGGAGGTGGATTGGGAGGGTATTTGTTGGTCAATTTTAAGTTGAAAATGCCTCTTCTAACAATGGAGAGGAGTACAGAGGAATACACTTTTAGGCTATGTCTATCGAGTCACGGGACACACTGATGTATTACTACTAATACTTTTTGTTAATATTGTAGAAGAAAGGACTCATATGTGTGATTTGTGCGGTAAAAGGTATAAGCAAAAGTGGGCTTTGACGGTACACAAAAGTTCGCATATCAAAGGTAAATCGTTCGAGTGTAACGTTTGCTTGAAGAAATTTACGTACAGCAAAGATCTCCATCGGCACAATCAAATCCATATTGGTAAGTAGTCGATTCATTTACAAATGGTTATAGAAGGCACATTTTCGGTCCATCAGATTGCTTGATATTTGCTTGAATGTGTAATTGAAAGAGGGCAGTTGATTAACCTTTCTATCGTTGATATATCAGAAACTGAGCAATACGAATGCAGCATTTGTTCAACTGTATTCCGTCGAAGAGACAATCTGAGGCGACACATGAAAAATACGCATCCCGGCAAAAAGGGGCGAATCATAAAGACCGCACCGGCGTCGTCCGTTCCACCACGGTCGTCGGTCGATCGATCGATCGTCGACAAAACGCTCACGCAAATCGATTTCGATAGGCCGGTCGACAATCCGAACGCCATTAAAGTGATAACGAGCGCCGCGCCGGCCTTCCCTTCGCCCAGTAACGGCGGTCGTGGCGCGGCCGACGCCGAACCGGTTTCTCTTCCTTCTGCTGTTAAATCTGATTGCAGGAACGACGCCGGCGACGGCGACGGATGTAGCGGCAACGTCGCGCCGACGAGCAACGTCGTCAACGGTCCGTTCAAGCTCGCATTTAAAACGCCGGCTTTTAAGAGCAACTACAATATTAACGGGCAAGTAATCTACTAGAATTTATTTCTGAACTTCTTTTTAACCCTAATCAATCCGTTAAAAAGTATCTTTAACTTGACAGTTGTACAGCAGATTCTTTCAATTTGACAGATTTACATTGTTGTTATGGAGTAACTAAGGACATTTTTCACTTGACAGTTTTACATTGTTGTTATGGAGTAACTAAGGAGATTCTTTTCTAACTAAGGACTTTATGCAATTATTATCTAAGACTCTAGCCAATTATTATTAATGTTTTTTGTGTTACAAATTATTTACTCTTCTATGTTATTTGTGGACAATTATAAGAGCGGCAGAGTTTATTGTATTTTGCAGAGATTTCGGCAATCTGTCACCCGTCGCTCAACTACAAAACGGCTACAACATGGCGGAATCCGTAGAAATCTGCCAGAAGATCATGTCGACCGATACGTCGCTTCCGACGCGCAACGTCATTGTCAAAGCGGCGCCGCCTGCGACGGGCGATAACTTCCGGAAGCAAACGTTGGACGTCAACGCGAACGCGTCCAGTAGGCCGTTGTTGTACGAGACGTCGTTTCAGAACAACAAGCACGCCATGATAAAGAACATCAAATTCAAGGTGCCGATCGAATATACGAATCAATTTAGTAAAGGGGGTTCGAATGGCGGCGACAGGCCAGCTAGCGTTATTGTTAACATGAGCAACTTGGAATCGGGGGAATCGGGGAATTTGTATTGGAGGAGGAGAACGTCGCAAAATTTAACGATGAGAAATTGATTGAAGACTGTTTTGATTTTCTAAGACTGTGGTATATGAAATATAAATAATTATAATTTTTAAGTTTTCTAAGGTCTTTTTGAATTAAATGTTAAATTTGAAGTTTTGGTGTTTTATAAGTTTATGTTGGTAGTACTGCAAATTTAAAATGCTGATATTTTGTGTATTTACAAGCGTTGAACATAAAATTATTTTCCTTTTATTTTAACAGGATATGAAAAATACTCCAGTTTAATAGATATTTAGGTTCGTTGACTTGCTCCGGCGCTTTTCAAGGTTCACCCAGTATGTAATAGTCGACATTTCTCTTAAGCAGTAGGTCCATTACACTTTCAATCAATAATTCCTGGTAAACACGCAAAATGGTCTCATTTTTATTGAGAGCGGCGCTACATAACAACAATCACGTAAGGTTAGTGTCATAATTTATTAAATTTTACGTTAGAATTTGCTTAAATATACAAAAATTGCTATTTTGGATTTGGTTTGGATAACTACTACATTCTTATATAACCATTTGGCAATGTTGCAATTTCTTTCTATTTTTAGACTGTTGATTTTAAACTGTCGTTTCAACAATTATTGTATTCTTTTAAATATAGAAGTATTTTTAGATTATTTATCTGCACAAAATGCGTATTATAATAGTTAATTGAATTTCATTTAAATATATTTTCGCTACTACTAAGTGTTCTGTTGGTAACAGTGACTACTAACAATTTGGCAACATCCATATGTCAACGTCAAAAATGTCAATTAACACCTAACGAAGGTGTAGCAATTTTATTTATTTCTCCAAAAATATAAATTAAAACCACAACAAAACGAACAAGTACCAGTCAATAATGATTTAGAGCAACGAAAACGAATCGCATTCGACATGCATCTGTTGATTTTGCTCCTGCTTTTCCTTCGCGGTATCGACACCTCGTCGGAGGATTACTGCGGCTCTTATCACGGAAACATTTGCAAGAACTACATATTGAGCAACAAGCAAGTGTGGTACAACAACAGCGGCGGTTACGAAAACGAGAAAATCACCACGGCCCTGTGGGACGAATTGATCAGCACGTTGGAGGAACCCTGCAGATCGGCCGCTGAGAAATTGCTCTGTTTCTACGCCTTTCCCGACTGCAATGTGTCCAAGCCGCTGCCCCTCTGTTACCAAGACTGCGTGGCCGTTAAGGAACTGTTCTGCTACAAAGATTGGGCTTTAATCGAAGACCGTAAGGAACAAGGAACTTTCATCCAAACCAGAGGTCACTTTCGGTTACCGGACTGTTCGGTTTTGCCTAAATACAATAAGAACTCGCCGGAGTGTTCGTACGCCGGTTTGACTGAAATGAAGCTAGATGAAGTCACTTACGATTGCGTGAAAGGCAGAGGAAGATTCTACCAAGGTAAGTTTATCATATAACACTGTGGTTGTATAATTTATTGGAATTTATTTCAGGTAAAGTAAACGTTACAAAGTCCGGTATACCGTGTCAACGTTGGGATTCCCAAAGCCCGCACGAGCACGATTCACCTCCCGGAGTCTTCCCGGAGCTAGACAATGCGGAGAATTACTGCAGGAACGCAGGCGGCGAGGAAAAGAAACCTTGGTGTTTCAGCACAGATCCCGAAGTAAGATGGCAACATTGCGATATACCCCGTTGCCCGAATTCCACCTTAGAAGACACCACCGAAACCAAAAGCATAGCGATGGATAAATTCCTCTCGCCTACATTTCTAATAATCTGCTCCACCGTAGGTTTGCTAGTTTTACTAACGCTTCTATTGATGATATTGCTCTGTTACCGCGTGTACAAGCGCCGCATGCTGGGCTACAACGCCCCGAACCCAGCAGAGGTCAACATCGATCTGGACAAACTACCCAGCAACATGGCGTACCACAGTCACGGGGCCACGTTGAATCCGAAACTGGAGAAATTGGAGTACCCCCGCAACGACATCATCTACATCAGGGACTTGGGACAAGGGGCGTTCGGCAGCGTCTTCCAGGCTCGAGCGCCGGGCCTCATCAAAGGCGAGGAATTCACCGTGGTGGCCGTGAAAATGCTGAAAGAGGACGCCACCGACGACATGCAGGACGATTTCGAGAAGGAGGCTTGTCTGTTGGCCGAATTCGATCATCCCAACATCGTCAAGTTGCTGGGAGTGTGCGCGATGGGTCGACCGATGTGCTTGCTGTTCGAATACATGGGTAAAGGCGATTTGAACGAGTTCTTGAGGAAATGCTCGCCTAGTAACTACGTGGTTAGGAGCGTATTGGACGGGAGTTCGCCCAATAGGGACGTTTACAAAGACAACCAGTTGAGCAATCTCGAGAAAGTCGAGATTGCATTGCAAATCGCTTCGGGTTAGTCGTATAATCGCATTAATTATTAACTTATTAAAATCGAGGTGTTTATTTGCAGGTATGGTTTACTTGTCACAAAGGAAGTTTGTACATAGGGACTTGGCGACGAGGAATTGCCTGATCAGCGAGGATATGGTGGTGAAGATAGCCGATTTCGGTCTATCGCAGAAGATCTACCTGCAAGATTACTACAAGGGCAGCGACAGGGACGCCATACCGGTGCGATGGATGCCTTTGGAGAGCATTCTGTACAACAAATACACGCCCGAATCGGACGTGTGGGCCTTCGGCGTGTGCCTGTGGGAGATTTTCTCCTACGCCTTGCAGCCTTACTACGGCATGACGCACGAGGAGGTGATTAAGTTCCTCAAAGAGGGTAACGTACTGTGCAGTCCCGACGGTTGTCCTGCGAGCGTTTACGAAACGATGAAACACTGTTGGGGACAGAAACCCGTCGATCGGCCCAGTTTTCAGACTGTTTACCAAAATCTAATTGACATACGGGTGAATATGCTATCGGCTTGTCCTTCGTAAAGTCAAACTTTACTATAAACTACGTTCGTATTAATCTAGAGGTGGCATAACTAAAGATTTTATTCTTCATTTGCAATATTTTCCAAATCTTTATTTATGGCTATATAAGCCAACGTTATGTGCCTAAATATCACTTAATGTATAATTAGGTGAGTATACTATGTCATCTCTAGGTTAATTTAAACAATATTTACCTCTTATTAGATGTGTTGGGTGTATGTTTCAGGTTATTATTTGATTGAATTTTTAGAATCTCTTTTTTATTATTAATTTATTCGATTTTAATGCATATTTAAATTTTATTTCTTTTTTGTGATTTATATTAAGTACTCAATTGTTACCTTAGCATGAAACGTGTACTCGTACAATTTTTTACGTGTGATTTATGTTGGACATATCTTAAGAATGAGAAAAAAATAGACTGCCATTTATGCGAACATCTTAAGCGACAATTTTTTATAAAATATTTGTCATTGGTATAAATACATTCCATTTTGAATGCGTGAAGTTGTTAGAGTATGTTGCCAATATTTTCTGTTTACTTTCAGGAAAAACGAAATTTGTAACGAATTTTGTATGAACATCACTTTTTTGTAATGTTTGTTAGTGTTTAAGCTTATGTAATTCATAATTAATCAAATATCGGGGATTCGAATCAATTTTTTTCCCAGTTTATAACGTATCAAATTGAATACTTGTGCGAATCCCTGGAATAAAGGTGAATGTGATCAATATGTAATTTATTATATTCTTAATTGTTTTACAACGACTTTTTTATTCCTTCATTGACCAAAAATTAGTTGCTAGATATTTTTTTAACCGAGTGTAGGTGTTTTAACGTGTATTTAATTGTTTATATTGTTTTAATATACATTTTCTAAATCGATTGCAGTTTAACTTTTAATGCTTTACCGATTTTTTATAGATTTTCAGCGAAATGGTTTCAGCGCAACTCTAGCACGACCAAATTGGCACAAAAAATTGGTTTCATCGGCGACGGCAACATGGCGAAGGCGATTTGCAGAGGAATCAAACGAAAAGGTATTTGTTTTATTTATTCCAATAAGTAATTAATATAAAATATTCCAGGCTTGATAGATTATTCCCAAGTGTACGTATCCAGTCCTTTCATAAAAAACCTGGACAGTTGGAAGGCGTTGGGAGCCAATGTTTTCACCAATAACGCTTTGGTCGTAGAGCAATCAGATGTAATTTTCCTCGCTGTAAAACCTCACGTATTTTGCCAAGCCATTGAACAAATCGAAAGCAATTCGGACAAGAACAGCACGAAGAACAAATTGTTCATCTCCATTATAGCCGGGCTGACTACCAATAACGTTGAAAAGGTAAAAATTTACTCAATTCTTCTACACTCCCCAAGGAACCTTTATTATATCGTTTAATTCCAGGTGCTTCAGAGTTTCGAAGGCAGCAGAATCGTCAGGATTATGCCCAATACACCGATGCTCATCGGAGAAGGGTGTTCCGTGTACTGTCCGGGTAGCAAAGCCACAAAAGAAGATTTGGATCTCGTCGAGACCATTCTACAATCCACCGGAATGTGCCAACTGCTACCCGAGCACATGATCGACGCCGTGATGGCGGTGTCTGCGAGCGGACCTGCATTCGTAAGTACTCGTACTCGAGTAAGTTATGTAGCCACTATTATAATTCGTATCTCTCGTAGGTGTACATCTTCATCGAAGCGCTGTCGGACGGGGGCGTGAGGATGGGGTTGCACCGAGAGATGGCCACCAAATTCGCCGCTCAAATGGTGATGGGAGCCGCTAAGATGGTACTAGCTACTGACAAGCACATGGGTACTCTGAAGGACGAGGTTTGTTCGGCCGGCGGCGCTACGATAGCGGGGGTACACGCCATGGAAAAGGGGAGAGTTAGGTAGAATGGCGTGAGATAGACCGAGATGTGGTTAATTTAATCTGGTTTTTATTTGTAGAGGTGCTATAATGGATGCTGTGCAAGCGGCGGCTCTTCGAGCAGCGGAACTGAACGAGAGGAGCAAAAAACTATAGGTCTAGGATGCTATGTGTATTATGTAACTTTATTTAATTTTTTGGGTATCGGCTAAAGAGAAACTATGACCTCTGGCCCCTTCCGTCTGGACGATTTCGAAGAAGTTGTCATTTCAGTTAATAAATAAAAGTTTTAATAAAAATGCCCCTTTTATTTAAATGTGCCAATTAAAAATAACGTCAAAATGTCATTTATGAAGGTATTACATTACTTTTGTCGACTTTGTAATAAATTCCAATAGAAATGATGGACAAAACCGCCTAACAGTTTCCTACATTTGTTTTAAAGTAGGTTCGTCAGTTTATTAGTAGATGGCGCCACTGATGGTTTTACAAATTTATAAATGAACATGTCGGCGCCCGGAGCGCTCAGTACCTCCTTTGCCACGGTAGGGGTATGTTGCTCATTTTTAAATGCAAAAATTACGATAGTAATTCTTGAGAAACTCATATCATCTTCATGGTAGAATGGTAGAATATTTGATAATTGGAAAATATTTGCGGTCCCAAGCCTCCCCCACCGGTACCACCCCTTAGCTATACTTTCTTAAGTAACCTAAGCATACGTTAAGGTGCGCGATGTGTTTGATGCGCCATCTATTAGATTTTTGTCGGACCAATATTCGCTGTATGGTTACTAATAGATCGGCAACCAGTATTTCGGATATTAGAAACTTATAAATGTTTAATTTTTACCAATTTTTCGTACATCTCAATGGAAAGTTTCTTTTTATATAAATCCGTTCATATTTTATACGTTTTAATTAAAAATAACAATATATCTATGTAAAAATTTATTTTTTAAATAGAATACAACAGGCTAAAATAAATGTATCACACAACAATATACTCATCGACAATTTACAATGTGTTTTGATAAGGAGCAGTAGTAGGAACGTTCATTTAGGGTATTATCTATCGTATATATCTAGTACAGCTTTATACGTAACATATACAAATAGAACAAGGTTTTTCACACATACGATTCCTCCGGATTTTTAATACAGTCCAATAGTAAATCACTTCGTGTGTAATCACTCCGTGTGGTGGCTTTCTCGTCCCCTGAACCGGTCACATTGTCCGTACTTGGAGGAGTTCTTGGTCCGTATCGTTGGAGGAGTTGTCACAACAGCACTTGAAGATTCTTTTCACTGGAATAAAAAAATATCAAATTAATATTTTTGTTTCTGAGAAAAATTCGAAGAAAATATAAAAATGTAGGTAATCGTAACATCTGAAAAAACGCCGAAAGTGAGTTAAACATTTATACAGGGTGAAAACGCCAAATGTAATAAATTCATGTCATTCACTAAATACGGGTTATACGGGTTATACGGGCAAAAGTGTTGTAAAACTGGTTATCTACCTACACAGGAGCACTATAAAAATATACGAACACAAGCATACTGTCTTTCTTTGACGCATTGGAAACATAAGACAAAGAAAGCCCTAAACCTCCCGTCAAGTGTCACAAATGTCAACATTTGACAGTGACATGTAAACATCAAAAACCAATATTTATCTTACGAGGAGAGCCATCATGGGAGTTCAGTTCACTTACAAATTCGCAATGGACAATTAACAAATTCGACGCCGAAATGAAACATTCGCTCAGCAAAATGAAAACCGACTTCGTCCGTCTGATACCGGCAGCTTTGATATTCGTCTACGCCACATACGGAACGTGGTATCTGCTGAAGGAAATATTCACCAGTTTCGTGCCCTTTACGCTGGTGTCGACGGGCCTTCTGGTCGTGGTGGTGACTGTATTAAGGATACCGCCACCGAATCAGCTCGCAGTGGAAACTATCCTGGGGAAAGAGCTGCAAGAGGACGGTGGAATTGCTGTAAAAACCGTGGCCCACCGGGGCGCAGGACTGGACGCTCCCGAGAACACTCTAGAGGCTTTCACGAAGGTTGAATGGAATGTAATGTAATAGCCGATGTTCTATTAGATAGAGAATTATTTTTTAGTGTCACGAGAAAGGTTGCGATGTGGTGGAATTCGATGTGATGCTTACATCGGACGGTGTTCCCATAATATTCCACGATAGAAACACCGAAAGGGTATCGGATACAAATGTAATCGTTCGCAACAGCACGTGGGAGGAATTATCCAAAATTAACGTATCTACTAAGCACGCTTACAGGTAAATAATACATAATATTCTAAATGTACATAATTGTATCGATAATTTTGTAGAGATTCGTTTCCGAATACTCGCATACCAACTTTGGAACAAGCTGTCGAGCATATGTTAAACATGGGACAACGGATGTTCATCGATCTTAAGGAACCAAACAAAAAAGTACTACTTACTAATGTAAATTACCATTGTGATACTATTTATATCATTTCAGATCGTTCCTATAATTACAAAATTGTTCAAAAAGTACCCCGAATTGCAATCCAAAGCCGTCGTTACCAGCTTCTTTCCGAATCTGATTTATTTGGTAATTATTCAGTACACTTATACTAGGGTAAGGTGGAAAGTTCTCGAACTGACAATGAAAGACCGCAGTTTTTTGTTGAAAAAACGATTCTGGAGTGTTCTAAATGGTTTTAGACAGTTCTAAATGATTCTGGGGCGTTCTAAAAGATTCTAGACAGTTCTAAATAATTTTGGGAGTGTCCTAAATGGTTTTAGACAGTTCTAAATGATTCTGGAGCATTCTATATGATTCTAGAGAGTTCTAAATGGTTCTAGATGTTTCTAAATGATTCTGGAGCGTTCTAAATGGTTCTAGAAAAGAATAATTTCTAAGAAAAAACAATAATTTTTGCTAATGGAAGCGCCCTCGGTGTATCAGGCCGGAGAACTTTTCACCCTACCTTCGTAATTGGTACATTTTTAATCAATTAATTCTTAGATAAGAAAAAGCTCACCTAACATCGTATGCTGCTTGGCTTGGAAGCAAAACATATTCAAAGACGCGCTGTTGAACTACCAGGAAGGAGGCAGGCTGAACAAACTAACGAAATTCCTAATAAAATACACGGTGATTGCATTGGAAGTGGTCCACAATTGGGCATTGCCCAGGATTACCTACTACGTACTGGGCATATCCGTCATTCTACTTCACAAGGACTACGTTTGTAGGTTCGTCAATATTCAATGTAATATAAAATGTACCGGGTGTATCACCAGAAGAGTTAACCGGCTGTATATCAGAAACTATACTGCTTCACAAAAGTTAAGGAAGTTCACAAATATTGAGATTAAAAGCTGCAGGTTTTTTGATTGCCAAATTTAGTATGAGTTGTAGAGGTAGGGGCAAAATATCCACTTAGATATGAGAGAAAACATTTAATTTCGCATATTTGAAAATTTGGTGATCAAAAAGTCTGTAACTTTTAAAATAATCGCAAAATTTGCGGACTTTCTCAACTTTTGTGGAGCAGTTTATTAAAAATTAACTATTTAAAAACTATTTAAAGACTTTTGAAAATAATGCTTGTGGATACTCCCTCTAGCGGCCATTTTAGAGACTTAAAAATCGGTTTCTGATACACAATAGCAATAGCAAAATATATTTACAATAGCATTTGGATTTTTAGAGGTACGGTGGAAATGTGGAATTCCTTAGGAGTCAGAGTGATGGCTTGGACGGTGAACAGTCCTATCGAAAAGCAACATATGACCCGTAATCTACAGATAACCTATCTCACCGATACGTTGACTGGCGAAAATACCGTTCACAACGTAGCTCTAATGCAAAACAGCTGATAAACGTGATTTGTATCGAGCGATTTTAAATTCTTTGTTACATATCAACAAAGCACTAGATTCGTCTTCGACGAATTTCAAATAACAAATCGCGTTTTTTTTTGTATTCTAGATTAATTCGTGTTCGAGTTGAATTAAAATTTCCGATCTCAGCGATTGCCATTAAAATGATACGACAGTATCAATTTCGTACTGATTTTAATTTGAAATTAAACGTAAACAAACCAAAGATGTATCAGTATATGCTTGTACTGAATAAATTTATGTTATTTTATTTTGAAAAGTAAAAATTTTTAATTTATAAATACAAATTGCACACACTTAATATTCTGATAGAAATATTATGCGTTTTATTATTTTATACGCAGCTATAAACGTACTTTTTATATTATATGTTCCTTTGTATTTAATTATATTTTATTACACACTTTACAAGAATAAAATTATGTTGTACCAAATGCGTTATTTTTAATATGAAGTAATACACAAAAATTAAAAAAATGCAATAAAATTTCATTAAGGCGCATTATTGCATGATTAATAAAAAAAGTATAGGGCCTCAATAAATCAATATTTAAATAATAGTTGTATTTTGAATGAAGATTTATCAAAATAATGTCCGATAACATTTCTACTTATCCACAACAAACCATAACATTCGTTATGTTTCAAAACATCATTAACACTAATTTTCCAAAAATAAATAGTACGATAAACCTCCTAAGCGCCAGTTTATTAAAAACTGGATAGATAAGACGGTCGTTTATCTCAACATTACTGGTTTAACGATCCAGTTCGTTTGGTATTTTTCGAAAAGCACCATCTCAGATGCCTCCCCGAAGCGATTCTGTGCCGCCTTCGACGTTGGGCATCAAACCGCCCAAAAGCCGGTCCCAACCGGCCATCCTCACCACCGAATTGTGGCTGGAGGAAAAAAAGGAAACGGACGGAGCCGAAGGGCTGTGGAGGGTGCACGACGGACTGTACGATTTGAACGATTTCATCAACAAACACCCCGGAGGGGCCCAATGGTTGAATCTCACAAAGGTAAGCAATCGTAGGTATGTGTAATAAGTAATAACCGTTTCTGTATTCGGATGATTTTTTGGTAGTTACGTTCACGGCGTATGAGCTAGAGACACGACCAAAATAGTGTTGTAATCTTAGCCATAACCTAACCTAACAAATTACTGTCATACATATAAACTACAAATAAATAATAACTCGTGTGTACAAATACTAATACAAACAAATACACTATTATCGTAAATTCTATCTAATCTATCGTAAGGTACAGGAATTTTATTGGAGAACACAGGGTATTCGCGAAAATAATGCATGTCTTTTAATGGCGAATGTAGAAATAAGTTCCAACATATGTGTTAAATAATAAGTTAAATGTGATTGCATTTGGGATGAAAACTAGTATTCAATCTACATTAATTACTGATTTTACGGGCTTATTAGGTAAGATGTGTGAATAATTGAAAGCTTGTATATTGGATAATTGACCATAAAGGAGCGATTAATTTTGGAAAATTTAAGTAATATTAAAAAACACTTACCTATGAATTATCACTTTTTTCATTATTCTTTCAACTCGAATCACTTCTGTCTTTTCTAATTATTTAATAACCACAAAAATCGAAAAATAAAACTACTAATTTTACTAAAGTTTGAAATTTAAAGTTAGGTTAGAATAATCTTCTGTTTAAATAAATACTTAGTTGTTAACTTGATTAGCGCAGTAATTCTTCTTTTTCAAATTTAATTTTATTTAAAAAAAGGTTTTTTAGCTCAAATTGTTGACCGTTTATTATTTAAACATTTTTAAACTGTAAAATTATACAGCGAGACGATATAAATTTAATTTTGTTCCAAAAAAAACTTGCATTTTATATTTGACTTAACAAACGTCACTTTCATTGTTTTATTTACCCGCCAAATATTGTGTTGAATGCGAAATTCAATGGAATTCCTTCGAAGAGAACAAACGTAGTACTATAAATAGTAAATTCTTAATAAGGTCACTCACAACTCATTCATAATTATTGTTAAATTTTCAACTTATAAAACACGGAGCAAAGCAGACCTGATATGTAGAGTGTGGTACAGATTTTGTATTATTTTTGGGGACATCCTGTATTAGATTTTAAATTTTATTTTGGATGCCTTTGCCCATAAAAAATAAACAATTGATTATTTAAAATTAACGCAAATCGCTCTATAAAAACCCAATTTATCTATTTAAAAATAAATTATAAATAATTAATACAGATAACCTACGTGTCGTAACCACATACGTTAAAAATCTTGTAGGTTATCGCGTTTCAGTTAACCGGAATAGTTTCAATATCGTTAAAACTGAGATGAGATTTAACGACCCATCCCGCTAACACGTCAACGCCAGTATTACCAAAACCCAATTTTCCCACGATAGTTCTAAGTATTTATAAACAACCAAATGGAGAAGAAACGGTGCCCAAAGACGACAAAAAGCCAATACCTGCTATTACTAGAATTCCTACAAGACAACAGAATCATAATAACGGGCAAAACGGCCCCCCAAGATCGACTCGAAATCGAGCAACTGTGGAAAGAATTCGCGAACCGCGTCAACAGCAAACCCGTCGGCCCTCCCAAAACATGGGAACAATGGAGACAAGTAAGACAACAACACAACAATTAACTCACCCGGTCTCCTGTACAACAGTTTTCCCGCCAGGTGTACACCGATTGGAAAGCCAACACGAAGAAAAAGAGCAAACGTATCATGCTAAACGCCGATAAAACGGGGCCCGAGGAGTGCCTCAACGACATCGAGGAGGGACTACTTAGCCTAATTACTAACATCCATTTCGGTGCCGATGCGGATGTTATTAACGATGGTATAGTAATAATATCAACACGCTTTTTATCCAATACACCGAACAGATACAATCAAAATTTGTACACTATAAATACCTACAAATCTTGGATAAATTGTTTTAATATTTTAGTTAACGACACAACTCAAGTTATCATCCTCGAAGAACCGTCTGATGTACAGAATATCCAGAACAGAGGTATAAAAAGGAAATTAAAAGGTATCTCCTTAGCGTTGAATGCGAACCAATAAATTCATAGTATGTCGAATTGCAGAAGAAATTTATAAGAATTTTCCCGTGGAAGCGGCGCTGCCTGCTGCGCCTTCCAGGGAAACCCCGAGGAACGCGAAGGAATCCCTGGTAGGAGAAACCAGCAGGAACGTCGGGAGACTGGCGGACGCGGCCGAAAGAATCGCCGATTCCTTGGAAGAAATAAAAAATTGCAAAGACAAAAAAAATAGATTGTTATATTTCAAAATGTTCAACACCCTCGAAGGGTACGAAGACTTTTAAATAAATATTTACGAAACAAACTACCAATTATTCATTCAATTTCCTTACCACCATACCCAACGAAAAAAATACAAAAAAAATCAGATGCACTCGATTCAAATTGCAGGGCTTGGACATCACCGAAGCCTTCGAATCCCACCACGTGTCCAGCCACCCGGAGACCCTCCTGAAGACGTTCTTCGTGCGAAAGGCCAAAACCAAGCGCAACGCGCCCTACACGTTCGAAGATGACGGGTTCTACAGGACCCTCAAGCGCGAAATCAGGGAATCGCTGAAGACGATACCGAAACAAGCCGTCAACACCACCGAATTCTTCACCGACTCCCTGCTGTTCTTCACCTTCCTGTTCGCCGTACTGGCGGCGCGTTACTGGAGCTACCCCCTGGGGATCGTGTCGGGGTTGATGCTGGGCATGATGACGATCGCCGGGCACAATTACGTCCACCAGAAGGATAATTTCAGGATGTACTATTTCCAGTTTTCGCTGTTGCAGATTAGGGAGTGGAGGATCAGCCACGCGCTGAGCCACCATTTGCACACCAACGCCATCGATGATTTGGAGATATCCATGTACGAGCCCTTATTGTTTTATTTGCCAGTTAAGAAATCCGTCAGGGATATCATTTCGTCCCTTCTTTTGGCTCCCGTTATTTGGGTGACGATGTTTCATGGAGCTTTGATCAAGAGGTAGGAAATTTTCAAAAATGTTGTACTTTACCCAATGTAGTTTAAGCCCAACTACTCAAATATTCCAGCTACATTTGGTGATTTTATAATCTTTTTTAGAATTTTATTTGCAAAAAAGTGCAACTTTACCAATTTTGGTTTATCGGATTTGATACCGTTATTGCTACCTACAGTAATGTGTTTATTCCGTGGCGAAAACACCTCGATAATCGACGTGTTTTTAATGTGGAATTTTATCATTCTCGTGGGATCCACCTATTTGGGTTTCGTCGGTTTACACGCAGCTCACCACCACCCAGACATCTTCCACGACGGAGACGTACCCAGGTAAAAAAACACTACCCATTCCACCAAGTACCCCGCGTTTGCATACAAAACCTTCCAGATCCTCGACTAACTACGATTGGGGCCTGAGCCAACTGGACGCGGTGATGGACCGCAAAGAGATCACCGGCTCCCACTTCCTGGTGCTCACCAATTTCGGCGATCACGCCCTCCACCACCTCTTCCCCACGCTGGACCACGGCCTCCTGGAGCTGCTCTATCCCACCTTTAAGCGGGTGCTGAGGCAATTCGACGTGGACGTGCGCTGCGTGTCCCAATGGGACACCATCAAGGGCGGTTTCCAGCAGCTGGTGAAGGTCAACCCGAATTCCAGCGCGCCGGATTTGAAGAAATACAGCAATTCGAAGGATGATTAAACGTTACAAACGGTGTATAAATACGTGTTATAAATTTACTTGAAATATAAATGTTTTGTTTAATTAAATCTTTCATTATTATGCAAAAAACGTGCTGGTACTACCGATAATAGTAAGTTATAGAATAGGGTAGAGGGCTTGACCGGGTATTCCGCATTCCCCCACGTTCCTGGCCAAGCGCATGTAGCCCTTTTCGCCCCAAGTGGTGCCCCAGGAGTTCTTGATAACCCAGTACTCCTGCGGATCGTGACCGTACCCGACCACCAGTACCGCGTGGTTGGTACTACAATCAGGGCAATGGCAATTACCCGTTTGGAAAATCCCACCTCCATAGAACTGCAAAGCTTCAGCTGAAATGGTGACCGATATCGGTCCGATGATACCTGACGCAATAAATTTATAAACTACAATTGATGAAATTCGGTATAGCACACTTACTGACGGCGTTTTTCAAAGCGACTTCGTTAGCCGGTACCACGTAAGTGTAGTTCTTGATCTTGTACGGACCGGTGGGTATCTTACAAACGTCCCTTTGGGCGTTGTATTTGTAAGCCGGCTCCAACTTCAGGCCGCGCTGCTTGGCGAATTCGAAGGCCTGCTCGAGGTACCCGCCCGAGTCGCAGTTCTGCCTGATGCAGTCTATCAGCTGCTGCTTGCTGAGGTCCAGGTTCTGCTTGATCTTGATGGCGTACTGGCACTCGATGGCGCCGACCTGCAAGAACCTCTTGGGTGCTCAAGCGGGTAAAACCGGGGCGGTACTTACGGCGCTGAAGGCCCACGAGCTCTTGCAGTTCTCCTGGTCCTGCACGTTTCCCACGATGCCGGAGAGCCTCCAGTCGACGAACGCCGGCACGGTGGCGTTGACCTCCTCGAAGGAGGTCTCCACTTTGTTCTGGAGGTACTTCTGGTTGTTGTGCTTGTAGACGAGCTGCTTGGAAAATTCGCCGGGGGAGACGTCGGCGAATTGGTTGATGGACATGAAGTAGGTCTCCAGGCCGGCGTTGTATCTGGCGTTGTGCTGGTAGATGATTTTGAAGTTTTCCTGGAACACCTCCATGTCGAGGATCTCGTTCACGATGTTCCTGTAGGTCTTGTTGAAGTCGTTCTGTGGATGTGTCGAGGTGTTTGGTTAGGGTTGTGAGATTAGGGGGTGGTTTTACCTTGAATTTTACCCAACTTTCTTGCACGGTGAGCGCGTTGGCGAAGAGTAAACGCAGGGTGAAAATGAGAAGAATATTCTTCTTAAATTCCATTTGCGCTGCGGAAAAAATTAACAAAACCTCTACCGTAATAATGGGTTTATTGTAAGGAGCTGCGCGAAGTACTGTTAAAATCGAGGTGACGGGGTAATGACTAAACTGATTCGAGAGGAAATAACGGTGATAAGTTTTGTAATTAAAATGATTGGGGATAAAAATGCAATTTTCTGAGTAAGAACATTTTTCGGAAACATTGTGACTCATAAATGAATAATTCTAATTAGCAATGATTATAAAAACATTATAAGAATTATTATAAGTACAAATTTAGGATGGGTCGGTTATTTATTTAATAATTGTAACAATTTACAATGTAATATTACAACAATTGACTTTTAACAATTATTATTCGTAAAAATATAGGTAATAAGTATCGAAAACATGTACCTAATTTTTATATACATTTACAAAAAATTTCATACGTTTACGGACTAGGTAAGTACTAAAAAAGCTTATTTCCAAATATATTCCGATTTCTAATTAATATAATTATTTATTTTTTTGGAAAATTAAGCTTCTTAATATCAATTAACAGATATTCATTGGTCCAACAAATCACTGAATAAAATCAAGCAATAATAAAAAGAAACAAAGTGTATCCGCTACCAAAAAGCTACGTTAATAAAAGTCCGTTTAATAAATTAATTCTCGATTACTGTTCATACACTGTTAATTATTATTAAATATCCGGACATCAACATCGTACAAAAAAATTCTCCGTCTACTTCCAATCCAGTCTACGTGAAAAAACCGCATAAATCAATAAACGAAAAAAAATATATATACCCTTCAAAAACTCAACAGCAGCCATTCGTCATCCGCACAAACTCCTACCGAACAGATTATATCACATTTGTAACACATAAATTGCGTCTTTAATCGACTAGTAACGCGTTCCACTGTACAAACAAGGCCACCGATCGGCTACACGTTCAGATCGGCCATCATCTTCCTGAAATCCGCCAGGCTGTTGTAGTCCGGATCCAGGTCGATGTCGGCGAAGTCCCTCTTCGAATCGGACTTGCCGAAGCTCGGGTGGTACCTGCTCAACGACAGCGGGCACGGCAGCAGCTCCGGCATCACCGAATGGTGCGTGATCAGCGACGTCAGCGACGTGAATTCCTTCGTGAAACCCTAAAATCGACGATACAGATTGAAACGATGAGAAATTTGCAGCAGTCAAGCAAAGATGAACCATGCAAAGTTCTGCCAAGCAAAGATAACCCATGCAAAGGTCTGCCAAGCAAAGATGAACCATGCAAAGTTCTGCCAAGCAAAGATGAACCATGCAAAGTTCTGCCAAGCAAAGATGAACCATGCAAAGTTGTGCCAAGCAAAGTAGAACTAGGAAAAAGAGAACCAAGCAGAGTGAAACCATTCAAAATTATGCCAAACAAAGTAGAGCTAAGAAAAAGAGAGCCAAGCAAAGCTGAACCATGCAAAGTTATGCCAAGTAAAGTAAAGCAATAAAAAGACAACAAAGTAGAGTCAAGAGAGTGAAGCAAAGCTAAGCCATGCAAAGATTATTCCAAGCAAAGTAGAGCTAAGAAAAAGAGAGTCAAGCAAAGCTAAACCATGCAAAGCTATTTCAAGCTAAGTAGACCTAAGAACCTACATGTTTTTCGCTGCATTCTACTTTTTGCAATAGTATTTTACCTTAATTTTGTATCCTTTATTAGCTTTGACAATTAAATAGTGAGCTATGCCGGTGGGTTGGAAACTCCTGGGTACTCTCAAGGACAAAGCAAAACAGCCGGGTTTGCTGGTACTTTCTCGCACCATGAAGGCCCCGACGGGTTCTTGGGCGAGAATCTCCAACGCTATCTCCCTAGGGATGCCCGCTTGGAACCAAGGAGCCAATCTGAAACAAAAACCAACAATAAATAATCGAAGGACAACGCGCAGGGATAATGTATTAGCACCTCAATTCTCCCTCCTCTTTGTTGTTCAGCGAATCCGTCCGCTCGGGCAGGGGCGGCGGCGCCGGCGCGAACCCGATCAGCCCGTTGTTCTCCTGGCCGGCGGCCGGACACGAGCCCGAGCTGCTCGAGCTCAGCTGCGATATCCGCTTGCTCTTCGCGTCCTTGCCCTCCTTGGCGTCCGCCTTCGCCTCGGGCTCGATGCGCTTGCCCAAGTTCGAATTGTTCTCGGCCAATTCGTTCTTCAAATGGTCCACGGCGTTGTTCGAGCGGTTCTTCGAGTCCTCGGTCTCGTTCACGTAGCCGCCGGACAGGGGGCGGTTCGTGGGGCTGTCTGAAAGAAACGTTAGCGTTACACCTAGAAGTCTTGGATGAGGGGATTTGGGAGGTTGTTTGGGTGTATGATTGTTGGATCTTACTGGGTGTGCTGGGGGTGTTATCGTTGACCAAAGGATAGCTATCGTCGTCGCTGTGATTGCTGTTGCCGGTGAGGCCCATGGCGATGCGCTTGATGAGCGGCGGCTTGTCGGCGATGCGCTTGTAGGAGTTCATCTCGGTGGGGGAGTTGCTCTCGTCGCTGCTGGGCGTCGAGAGCTGCGACCGCGACCGGTTGTTCTTCCTGTCGAAGTCCTGGCCGGCGTCCTGGCCCAGCGCGTTCAATTTGACGTTGGCCTTGAGGCCCGGTATGGTGGTGGGCGGCGCCAGGCGCAGCGTCGCGGCGTCCATGTCCGACGCGCCTGGACGGCGTTGTTGTTGTTGTTGTTGTTGTTGTTGCTGCTGGAGTTTGTCTTTCTTCAGAGCGGTCAGTTCTTTCGTCTGCGATAGAATTGCGTTAGCGAATAATCGAAAGACATATCCCTCGGAGTTTGATTAAACTCTCGAGGAACAAAGGATCTTATTCTTAGAGCGCCGGAGAGGGAAAAAAAGAGCGGTGTACGAATAAAAAACAAATTGGATTCCTTCGCGGAATAGTCGCGCAATTTCCCGCAAACTTTTTTTTCATCTCTCCTCTCGCGTAACAGAGCGAAAAGAAAACGGTTTTTTCTTTTCCTCTCGCCGCTTACCCAAAGTACTTTATCCTGCTGGGTCTGATCCAACGAGGCTATTACGTCCTGAAAGCCGGCCTGTTTCTGCAACTGGGCGGCGTACGCCATCTTGAAAGCATTGCCGACTATCGAGTTCACTTCTTCGGCCTGCGAAACGAACAAATCCGGTGAATATTGCGCCGATAATTTCGACGGTAAACAATGCGAGATATTTCAAGTGCGCCGAGTTCGGCCCCCACACGAAGCCGGCATTTATAAACATGCAACGACCGGTATAATCGTTATAAAAGAGCAATAACGTTGCGTTCGGTATGTCAAACGCGCCACTAACGTGTATATACCGGTTGCGTCAAACAAAAATATAGTAAAAGTTTTATATGTAGATAAACCAACGGTATCGTTAATCTCGATATATTTACGCAGGTTTATCTAGTTCACGTTTTTAGATAGCGCATTTCCTGTTTCCAAAAAAATCATTTGCGACGTAAATATATTATCGTAAAAGATTTCTCACCCTTAAATTATTCGGTTAACAGTTACACGACACAAAGAGAACTCGCAGAGCTTAAATTCAATGTTCCCGCTCGCGGAGATGGGAAAGAACGTCCCATAAAACTTAAAACTGGCGAAAAGGACGCGCTAGAACGTCCTCAGGAAGGAGTCATTTAACATGTAAAATATGACAAACATTCGCACAAAACACTCCCCGGTCTCGGGAGCAATGAAAATGAAATACGAAACAAAAATTGCTAAGTGAGCGCGCTAAGAAAACGAATATATCGCGCCGAGGAAATCAGCGAAGTGCGCTCGGGTCTTTAACACGTCATTAATAACACCAAAAATAATCTCATTAAATATTTACCAACTTATACTACACATTAGATAATACCACATTAGTGTATCTTTACTACGAATAATGCATTTATACAACAGAATGTGTGAAAACTATTATACGAATAATATGTGACGCCACTGTATTGATATTCTCATCTTCCCGAGAAATTTGATAATCCTCTACCTACTCGGTAACGGTGAGCTTGTTGATACAACGTCTAGCGAATTCGCTGATAATGGTATCCGTATCGTTTTGAATGATATAAAAAAAAAAATACGCAACACGTGAGAAACTGCAAAAACACCACATTTTTTACGAGTAAAATACGCCACTTTGTCTACGACTACCTTATATAAACGCTGTATAATAGAGGGAACGGATTAGATTAGAATCAACAGGATAAAGGATTGGAACGCAAGGATCGCCGGTCCTTCGCAATAACTTTCCCTATAATCGAATGATCCGGAATATGGTTTCCGGGACGGACATTCCTGGACATTCTATTGATATTACGGAGGGCATAACTTTGCAGATATGCAAATAATAACGCGAGATGCTATGCACGAGACGAGGATATTAATCTCCTAATAAATTTTTCCAATATTTATTCGATATCGAACTAATTATAGGTGCCTTTTAGGTGCACATAGCGAAATGAAATCTGTCTGGCGGATTACTAACGAGAACATATTCCGGAATACATCCCGTTCCCCATATAGTTTTCTTCATTGTTTTGGAATAATAGGAAAATTCAAATAACTTTCGAGGACTTTCGAACCGACGACCATCGTCCGGCTGAAGGGTCCTTTAGTCCTCACGGCATCCGGGGAAACTACAATGCAATAATGAGACCGAAAAGCTTGCCAAAAAATAAAATCCGACCGGCAAACAAAACGAAACAAAAGGAATTATTACTACACACAGGACCGCAGAAAAAAATCTATATATTATATAAACGAAATTTTGCAACGGCGCAATTACGCAAAAAGGAGAATTGAAATGAATTACGAGGCACTTCATTACGCGGAACCGGATAGAAAAAACACCGCCGGCGAATTAATTCAACCCTTCGAGGGTGACCCTGTAACGAAATTAAACCGTCGAAGGATCGAGGGATGCAAAAACAATTCGATGCTCCGGACGAAAATCGCTATACCGAACCGGAAAGTTGGATGCAGATTCGGAAAGTTTTATAACAAGAACACGAAACTCGGGATACATATCCCTTTACCCGTGTTTAAACAACTTATTGGGGAAAATCGATGCCGAATGCAGGTACCCGTATGGATAATTTTTCTTCGATTTAAAAAAAATCGTCGCTATTAACTTCTCGCTCTACCCCCGTATACGTCCGCCCAGCGCCACTCGAAATTTCGGTTTAGCTTCGAGTGCTCTCGACGAAAAGTGTTTCAATTCGAACGTAAGAACAAAAATCGCTAATTAGCTTAACGAACTGTGGCCGTTTTAATTATGAACGGAAGAAATAATAACATCGGGCGCGCGTTTACAATGCGAAAGAAAAGCGAACGTAACGACCGATTCGTTAGAATTGTATGAAGAATTCGTTTACTAATTAACAGATCAAAAGATTCACCGGAAAACCGTTACGGAAGAGACCACTAGTTGGTACACAACCATTGAAAGTAGATTAACCGGTAAGTCGGTAAGGAAAAGGCCACTCGCTAACAGGGGAAACACCAAGAGGTTGTCATGTATGTGGAACTACATATTGCCAACTTAAAAGATTTTATTGATACAGGAATGGTACCTCATTAATTTAAATGACTCAAATTTATTGCAGTGTGGCAACAGCGCACGAACTTTCTATACAGGGTGTCCCGATTATCTACAGAATTTAGTTAGATCTTCTATACTTCTTTTTCTTTAAGGCCTCAAGTGCAGTGACTATTCGGATAGATCCCCAAAAATTTATATGATAAGTTCATAGGAATTTTTTTTCTGGTAGACCCTGTTAATAATAGTAGTTTAAATTATTAAAATTTATTACAGGATGGCAATATCGTAGTAAATATATACAGCATGTCCTAGAGTAACAAGATAATTTACAGAATCTAGTTAGGTCTACTTTTTCTTCCTTTTAAAAGGCCTCAGGTGCAGGGGCTATTCAGATAGATCTGGGAACTTTTTGGTCCTTCGTGTAGAGTTTATATTTTTCTGTTAGTAGAAATTATATCAGATATATCGCGTTTGACAAACCGGTCGCAATCGAACGGCAATAAAAAATGTACGATCGAAGATATAAATAATTCCCGGCCGGAAAATTGCGGTCTCCGGGTGAGCGCAAGATTGTCCCGAATCGGCCCTCCTCCCTTCGCTTGTTTATTATTTATCGCCGGATATTAAAGGCCATTTCTTGCGCTACTATTTAAGGGTGGATCGAATTTCTTTTTTGTTTGCTCGCATTATCATTTTAATAGCCTGAAGGAGAGTCAAGAAATCGGCAACTTTCATTATCGTCTATATACAGTGCGTCGTTTCGACTTTTAAAAATTCGCTCTTTTTTAACGGGACGTCCTGTATTTGTGTGTTTGCTTATTATGAAAGATTACGTCGTATTTCCCATGAGGAATGTTCGCTCTTATTTCGAAGGATAATCCGCCGAGCGGTTGATCTACTGATAATGGAAAAACGAAATGAATCCCCAATACGTTTGTCATCTCCACGGGGCTGCTTTCGAATCGATACTTGTTCCCTTTGAGTGAAAGAAGACAAAAAAAAAACGAGGAGTTTACTTCGATTTTTCAGTACAGCTTTAAAATATGCATAACGCTCTTTATATATCCACGTCCTTCCGATTTACTCGCTTCCTGTGTCCTTTCCGCTGTTGTAATTATCTTTTTATTCTTTACTCTACTTTATACCCTTTTATTAAGGGGAAAACTATCGAAACTCGTTAGTGAAGAAGTTTCAAATTAATAAAACAACCACTTATAATCATTAGGAAGTTGAATTATTGAAAAATAACATTAAATATGAAGTAATCTTCAATTTAGGTTCGTTTAGTACGCTAATTACGCTTTCTCACGAATCCTGCTTAGATCAAACGCAGCAGGAAAGCTAAACAAATACAAAGAAATAATAATTTGAGACAGGAAATTTATTAGATATCCAATATTGCCGCGTCTCGCATTCTCAATAAAATCAGCGATAATCCTGCGTAAACACAAATAAAATTTACCCGCAGGATTTGGCGAATTTTTGCGATATAATCTAGCCTTTTTTAGAGCAAATCAAATCGAATGCGATACTCGTGTAGTTCCATTTTGTGAGTGATGGTTACACGCGGCATCCATTATCTCCCATACATATTATACCTGCCGATTCTCGCCTGATCCTGCTCCAGCTCCTGCTCCTGCGTTTCCTCTAGGATGTCCTTTCGGCTTTAGCCATTAATCGCGCGTCAGTCATTCGAACTGCATCGCCTGATTACGGATTTACCGGGGCCGTTGAATAAATTACTAAATTAGCCGGTTTAGACGTGTACGAGGGTCGAACGATAAATGTTTAATCGAGACTGTTTGAATTGAATTTGACAGTGGAAAAGCCAGTTTTACGGGTGTTTTCCATATATGAATAGTTAAGTGGTTTGTACGTATACGAGGGTCGAACGACAAATCCATATTGAATTTTTCTTTATATTGTACGTTCTGGTTAGAATGTAGAGTTAAATAAAATAGGAAATTCCATAGTTATGGTGGAATAATGGCGAGCGGGGGGTCAAGCTGTTCGCGCCCGGGTTTCGCATCTTTTATTAATACATTTCGTAGATTTATTATTTCGATTTCGGATCATATATGAAATTCCTTTTATATTTAAGGGATTTCGCCGTCTCGATGACGTTTTTTACGATCTAATAATCCCGATCGTAAATAAAATTGCTCGCGAAATCGTATTTAGATTGTCCGAGGAACCGCAAAAGAAAAAAAAAATAACCACAATCTCACTATTTCCAAGTACTACACTTTACTTTTGTTGCGAAGATCACACAACAAGAAATTTTCTTAACAATTATTAATATACGGCGTGAGTGTATTGCACAATGTAATCATTAAAGAATAATTCCAGTACTGTATTTGATTAAATTCGAAGGGGCGAGTTGGGGCGAGTGCGGTTCTGTATCTTCGAGGACTCATAATTACTGGTAACGGCATTAAAATTCAAAATATTCTCCGCTCTTTTTATTACCCGAGTAGATAATTGTGTTTTCTTTGAAATAAACGCGACGGACGTTTCGGAACGGAGGCGAATTAAAACGAAAAAAAAAATGTCGAAATTATCTAAATGTTCGGCA